TGGTGAGTAGTTACCGTCGCCCATGGACTTCAGCAATGCCAGAGGCAGAGCCAAGCCGCTGCCTACCGAGCTGTGAGCTCGTCCACCCATATAAGCAATAACAAAAAAAAATCCACAACAAATATGTTCAATAATAGATTATGCGGAAGCAAGTTTTTTAAAAACAGATGAATATCGATATTTATATTACTAGGTCCATCACTATTTATCCAACACCACAACGGTCTCCCAAGAACCGAGAAGTGTTAGTTTCAAACTTATATTTTAATACAAATACAGCGAAACGTGCCTTATCTTTCTGCAGGAAGATTAAACAGTATCCATTTATAAGGTTTGCGTGTTACAGACGATATTTCGCTCCACTCTCGCTGTGTTCTGTTTGTTTAAGCGACGTTTTAAAATAAACTGTAGTACTTGGAAACGTCTAGAATAAAATGCTACGTCTTTGTCTTTTATTTCTAATTAAGACTTGAATATTTGTCTTTATAAAGAGATTTTTGTAGTGATTTTTGGAACGACGTTCCTTATGGGACGATGCGGATGGGTACCCTAACTGGGAAAAAACGTCCGTAACGTAAGATTTTTATTATATATGTTTAGTTTTAGTATGATTTCTATACAGTGTCTAATGTATAGTCTACGTGATGACGGTTATTATTATTATTCATATAAATAGCTGTTTCTTTGTATATTATTATGATATATTTTTTATAAATCATTGTGAATATAATAAAGTTGATAACTTTGTAAAGTAGTTTCTTTTTATTTTTATCAATAAAAAAATCTTAATAAAAAATGTATACCCGAATAATTATTTTCTTAATACCTCGAATAGAACTTAAAATTAATATTTTAATCAGTTTATTCACTCTATTGCGTTGCAGCCTGTTCATCTTGCAAAACACCACTCATTTGTATACTCTACTGGACCGTAATGCGAACGATTTCTGTGCGAGTTTTTTTTTTCCCTTGTAGGCAGACGAGCATACGGCCCACCTGATGGTGAGTGGTTACCGTCGCCCATGGACTTCAGCAATGCCAGGGGCAGAGCCAAGCCGCTGCCTACCGCTTAATACTCTCCACAAGACTCGTTTGAAGAAGGACATGTCATAGCGCTCGGGAAACACCGTGGAGGGGAGCTCATTCCATAGCCGGATGGTACGTGGCAAAAAAGATCTCTGGAAACGCACTGTGGATGACCGCAGTGGCTCCAGGTAGTATGGATGAACTCTACTCCGGTGGCGGGCGGTGCGATGGTAAAAACGAGATGCCGGTATCATCTCGAANAAGGACATGTCATAGCGCTCGGGAAACACCGTGGAGGGGAGCTCATTCCATAGCCGGATGGTACGTGGCAAAAAAGATCTCTGGAAACGCACTGTGGATGACCGCAGTGGCTCCAGGTAGTATGGATGAACTCTACTCCGGTGGCGGGCGGTGCGATGGTAAAAACGAGATGCCGGTATCATCTCGAACAATTCCTCAGAGCACTCCCAATGGAACATGCGGTACAAAATACAGAGGGAACCGAAGTCCCTCCGCAGACCCAGAGGTTCCAAACGAGTAGTTTAGCCACTAAATTACTCGGTACTCGACTAAAATACTCGCCTAGTCCGAGCAAGGCTTAAGCGCCTGGATTGCCTGACTTTGTCTTCTCTTGTTTGCCAATGTACGTTTTAGTCATTTTCGGTGTTTCAGAGATAGATTCATTCTCAATATCTGCGGGTTCGTCTTTCCCGGAGTTTATTAGATATTCCGGCGCCTTAGTTAGAAGATCGAAGAGAGAAATCGACATAGTTACATCAGTGCGCCGCGTAGGGCACTAGTAAGGCAGTCAACGTGTTAAACTGCTATTTATTGGGTAATAAAACTTACCTTTTAAATGTAGGCAAAGGCTTCATTGATAGCACATAAGGGACTCCGCTGAGACTGGTGTTGTCGCCGAAGAAACCTATTTTCTTTATAACTTTAACAGAAACGGGGTCTTCTTTGTTGCGATCCATATCTTTATCTCCAAGGTTTATTTCTAAAAATTACAAAACCTAATTTGTGCAATAGTGTAATATTTGTTTTGAAATGTATGCATATTTTCATTATAAAAGATTCACATTAAATCGACTTTATGATGTACGATTTAAAACCAATTTAAATATCAATGAGTATTCTTTTATTAATAGCCAGAACAAACAAACATGTAGATATATATTTGTTTTTATTGCTTATATGGGTGGATGAGCTCACAGCCCACCTGGTGTTAAGTGGTTACTGGAGCCCATAGACATCTACAAGATAAGTGCGTTACGCATCTTGAAATATAAGTCCTAACATCTCAGTATAGTTACAACGGCTGCCCCACCCTTCAAACCGAAACGCATTACTGCTTCACGGCAAAAATAGGCGGGGTGGTCGTACCTACCCGTGCGGACTCACAAGAGGTCCTATACCACCAGTAATTCACAATAGATAAATTTTATATCGAGTTTTTTTAAAACAGGAGTAAAAAATATAACAACAATGCTTTGATAAAAATACGTTAGTTCCTCTTAACCTTTCTTGAACCTTCTGACCAAAAGGGCGCGAAACCGTCATGTATTTTTAACGGAACTACACTTTTGTACAATTGTGTAGGTTGCATTTTAATTTTATATCAATTAACGCGGCAATTGCGTTTGTGAAAAGCGATTACATCGGCTGCATTTAAATACACTTACTTCCATTTGTAATGGAAAATACATGTCACGGTTCGTTTAATATGAATAATTACGCAAATTTTCATGTAAACCATATTTTTAAACAATCCAAAACAGAGAATGTGACTATTTTCAAGGCTTTTTGCGATGAAAGCAATTATTCTGCGATGAAAACAATTATTCTGATTTTCGAGAATTTAACTTGAATACGATCTCACGCATATTATGTGAATAGACGCTGCAGAAATGGAAATAAAGTACGCACCACGTTTTGACACGTTTTGTGGATTATTTTTTATTTACCGAAATTTAAAGAATGTTTGGATTTGAGCATCAAGTTAAGTAGTAATAAAATGTTGAAAAAAAAACCTTTATTTCCCAATTCCATTAAATAATAAATGTAGATGTTGATTCCCATTTGCTAGGAGTTATATTTTTCTTTTAAACTAAAGTAGTACATTTTTTGGGATATGAGTGAGGGACTCACTCAGTTTCTTCCATTTTCCCCTAGAATTTGCAATATTCGGCCTTTCTCTTTCGCAAGAAGTCTTATTTAACTTGAAGGTGCTATTCCAGTTTGGTAGGCGAGCTCACGAGGCTCAGTCTGAGAGAGTCGCAAACATCTGCCCTTCTTTAGCGCTGGGGAATCTCTTTACAGATACCCGGTCGAGGGGGGTAACAGGTTTTTTTTTGCTTAGATGGGTGGACGAGCTCACAACCCACCTGGTGTTAAGTGGTTACTGGAGCCCATAGACATCTACAACGTAAAATGCGCCACCCACCTTGAGATATAAGTTCTAAGGTCTCAAGTATAGTTACAACGGCTGTCCCACCCTTCAAACCGAAACGCACTACTGCTTCACGGCAGAAATACGCAGGGTGGTGGTACCTACCCGCGCGAACTCACAACATGTCCTACCACCAGGTCGGGCTATGTCGGATCCTGCGCCTCCAAAAACGAAGCGGGAGAGAAGGAAGACCGAAGTCCTCCTCTTCTTGCATACGTCTGCCCTAGCAAGAGCAGTACTTCGCTGAATATACCACCGGATCGGAATCACGCTGACAAGTTCTGGCCAGAAACTAAGTGGGTTCATTCCCAAAAAAATCGAACTATATTTCAGCACTGCATAAACAAACAAACAAAGTTAAATAAATTCCGTTCAAATTTTATATTATGTAATTTCGTTATTTATCTGTTTCTCGACCTATCTATTTGCGAGAAATAAACAATTTTACGAGAAACAGAACGACAAAATTAAACAGTCTCTATAGTTTGTTTCCAAGTTCAGATTAGATAGTGTCTGATGTACCTAATGTGTATTAACGTTGCAAATTATCTCTTGTCGCTTGGGGGCATGATAAAATATCGAGCGCATAAATCATTTTTCATCACAATTTCTTTCATTTGAGACTCATAATTGTGAAATTAACATAATTAACATTAACGTAACATAACAATTGAGCGGATGAAGGGGATATGATATAATTTGTTCATTTTGAGAAAACGGGCCACAAACTTTTTATCTTCGTCCATATGTGTAACTCCTTTTAACATGCAATTTCTAAAAATTGTCTTTAAGCTCGGAATTTTAAGGTCTAATATGGTTTATAAGCACATAGCACCATCATTCAATGTAAGAACACAAAAATCTTATCTCCCCCTAATCTACCCCTTCATCCACTCATGTCTTCAATTGAATTTAGAAAATCTGCTGGTAACAGGTAATGTACGGAAAAGACGGCCCAGAGACAGAAATCCAATCCGCTGGTCAGATCAGATAGGTACGCTCTATTCTTAACACCTCAGTCCACGACACAATTCGCGGAGCCGAGGATAGGCAGGGCTGGCGCAGGAGTCCAGTAGAAAGTTATTAGGGAGGCCACCACCCTTAGCATTGAGGATTATAGACGCAAGAAGAAGAAGATTCCAAACTAGTCGCTATATAGATAGCATTGCAGATGTTATTGATTACGTAATTTTAATGATATTCGACAATTTTGTTTTAACACAGGACAAGTTTTTTTTTACAAATTGTCTTTTTCGACTCGACGTGATTTAGGTCAGCAAGTTCAATTTTTATTAAAACGTTCGTTACAAGGCAGAACGATAAACGAAATACTATTACGATAAATATTACAACTCAATTCGGTATTAAATTAAGTTCAATTAACAGCTAAATTATTTAATAATAATATTATTATCTTTGTCGACAATAACTCGATAACACTACTGACAATCGATAAAACACAACACGAGTGTCTAATTCTCCGTCCTTGTCGCACGCAGTGACTCCAGAGTCGTCGCCGCGACCGGTCACTCTCGCGCATTCTCAAATTTAGAAGACCTTGACTAATGTCAAACTTTATTATTGTTGCATTTGAACGCGTTTCCGAAATGTTTATTTTAAATGTTTTTGAATGATACATATGTACTGTTTTGATGTAGTTCGTAGAAATTGTTGTAATAATATCAAGTGAAAGAGACAGTATGCTGTGTTTTAGTAAAGTGCGAGTGAGTAGACTAAGGTGTAAGGTGGATCGTTTGTACGATCGTGTTCTGTACCATTCGGGCGCGGGAGTCTTCGGGCATCGACCGACGATTGCAGATGAATACGGTTCGCCCAAATTCTATGTATCGTACTTATAAAGAGAATTTTTGGGTTATCCTTTTTTTATGATTGAAAGATTACTGGTGGCCCGAAGGCCTTTCCAGTTTCACCAGGACATGTAGGCGAGCAAAGGCTCAGCCAGGAGGGCTGGGATTTGCTAACAACTGCCCGAGCGTCTCCGAAGGAAACCTAACAACTCAAGAGCAATTGCTTCGCGAATGAATCTACTACCGGATCGGAATCGCGACCCACTGAGAAGATCCGGCGAGAAACTCAGCGGGCTGATGCATGGGTTAGGTTGCGGGTTATCCTGGCTGAACCTTTGCTCGCCCACCTGTCCTGGTGAAACTGGAAAGGTCTCAGGGCCACCAGTAGGTAAACTCTCAATCAAAAAACAAACAAAAAATTTGACCAATTCTTCTTCTTCTTGTATACGTAGCGAATCGATTTATTTTTCATAATAAAAACTTAAAAGACTCCAAAGTAAAATAATTAATTAGAATATTAGCTAACGTTGTACAATAAGTAATCGTTTCTCTTGGAAGTTATTTCTTAGGTGTCGTTAGCCAGCAGAAACGGCAATGGTACCACAGCAAGACTTGAATCTATGGCCTCTTCCACTATTAAAAGACGACACCGCTGTGCCTTTAGAATGTAACGATATAATTAAGTAGTAAAACGCAATGAGATTTAATTGTGGATAATATTGCTAGCACACGAAGAAAAGCTAACTAAATTAAATTGATACCATACAATATTGATACTTTGGTAACCCCGTTTGCCAAACAACTTATCGGAACTCCGAATCGATCCGGTGGAAGATTCAGCGAAGCACTTCTCTTGCTAAGACTCGTGTTAGAAGTTAAAAAATGGAGAGGTTAAAAAACTCACACTAAGCAGTAAGCACACAGTCTAGATCATCGCACATACAAAAGGTCTACAAGTCTGTCTGTTTACTGAACCTGAAAGATACCAAAGAAGGTTTTAATTGTAGGATCGTTTTCAGATAAAAACATCCACCCACTTACGAAACTGTAAGATCGTTTGGACGTCTGAAACCTTGGCTTTAATTATTTCTAATGCGACTTGATATGAACATTTTATTAGTCAATAACCATTCATTGGCGTTAGAATCCACTATGTTTAGGAAATTGCCGGTGCAAATAGCGTAAGCAACACAGAAAAGATGACATCGATTGAAACGAATTTTAAACTATGTTGCGTTAAACGTTATGTACTGACGACTCGCATTTAATAATAATTGGGGAAAAAACAAGCCTGTTCATCACAAAATATTTCCTAATTGAACCCACGACCCTTGCGCAAGGACAGCGGCGCTAACCCACCACCCAGTCCGTCTATGTATAGTATATGTTTAAAGTTTGTTTCAGCCAATGCCGCTGTGGACTCGAGTAATCAATATTCAGGCATTCATAAATACTAAATAAATTACACTTCATTATACATTGACTATATTATTTCAAATCGGGAAGCTCGTATTTCTGGGGGCGGTACCTGTTTTTGTATGGACATTTGGACGGGTCATATCCAAAAAACTCATTCACTGAGATTGGAACAAAATGCTTACGAATCAATATAAAGACAAGTGTCTTAACGTAATGTCAGCATAGGTACATTCAATTGATAAGCGATTGATAAACCTCACGATCATAAGGAAGAATTAGCACTAAAGTCAATTATTGTAACAATTTAAAACACTAAGTGAACGAAACATAATTTTCACAGAGATTCCAGAGGACATAATATCAAAAAGATCTAAGAACTGCCGAGCGCAACAGCTGGTCAACGCCTACCGTACGTACGGACATCTAAAAGCTACTATAGATAACGTAGACTACAGAAATGAAAGCAGGTATTGTATTTTTCAAATTAATGTTTTAGCTTAAGGCTGTTATTATACCTCTGAGCATAGTTAATTCTTGTAAAGCAGTCAGTCAAATTTACAAAATATCAAAACGCCAAACACAAAAAAATAAACCCATTGCAATTTTAATTAAAATTTAATAACAGGTAACCCTCCGATATCACGGTATTTTACACATGGTTCCACTCTAACACGCAAAAGTAAAATTCCCCAAAACCATCTTAAGTATAACACGGTACTTCTACAACACGATAGAAAGACTTTTGTTTAAAATTATTTAGAAAATTACATTATGCACTAGGACTATTAGGTACCCCTCTCATGTTGGTCTGGGCACCGGCGAAGGGGGCCTAAGAAGACGACGTACAAGCTGCTCTGCACGCGTTTTACGCAAGAGCATCCGGGTGATGGAAGGCTGGCTATCCTCGACCCACGCTAGTTCTGACCCAGTGGGGTATTCCATAGGATAAACCACTATAACCGGCGCCATCTAGGCGGACTTTGGGTAGCCTGCCAACCGAGAGGACTGGTGGTCGTGGCGCCGACGACTGCCGGTCCGGCGTCCCAAGGGTGAGGGTGATGGGAGAGATGTGCTCCGCACTAAACACTTTAATTTCCCCCCCTTTGCCTTTTCATGAGTTCTGTCTCATGCGAGGTTCGGACGTGGGTTGTTGAGCGACAGGAGGTATTAGTTAGTTCGACTCCGACATGCCCTGCACTCTATCCCCAGTGGAGGGCGGAAGCCGGCGATATCCTCCTGACCACAAAAAATATGCATTAGGACCGAATAAATGAAATTTTACTGCTTATTTTTATGTAATTTTATATTTGTTTGATTCTTGTTTCATATAACACGGTTTCGCAAAACAAGGAACTTTGTAGGAACGTATCTACCTTATTTTAAGAGGGTTACCTGTAATTAACATCTTTGCGATATTTGTATATTTATTATTAGCTATTATTCGCTAAAATATTTGGATATTATCATTTAAAGACGTCATCATGAGAAGTTGATAGCTTAACTTGCTGCCAAAGCCAAATATAAAAGGCTCGAATCGGAATGTGTAAATATCTATCAATGCAATGTCGAGCATCCCAGCCAATATCAGAGCATGCTCATAGATCTTCACAGTAAAAACTTATTGAATCGAAATTTAAATATAAATAAAATATTATAATAAAATATATATTATAATATATATATAAATATATATAAAAAAATAATATATTAAAATTAAAATATTTGAATCGATTGCCTAACGGACTAATGTTTCAGGAATATCAAAGAGCTGCATTATTCGAGATACGGTCTCGATCCCAAAGAAACAGTTGACACAGGACTCCTGTATGGTTATAGCGGCAACAACTCAATCAAAAGCTTAGTCGATGAACTGGTTAAAATATATTGCGGGCATATATCGTATGAGTTCACGCATTTGGAGGTAAACCCTATTACAAATTATTCTCAGGTACACAAATGAAGGTGCTTATCAAAAAAAAAAGAAGATCTAGATAAAATTACACCAAACACTGTTATATTTGTAGTTTTTATGTGAAAATAATAATCTCTTTAAGGAATTATTGTAACATCAAAATAGTTTTTTTAGTTTTCGAAAAACAGCTAATGAGATAATTCTAATAGAAATTATTCTCGCTAGTCAGAAGCAGAAAGAGAATGGTTCGCTCAGCGCATCGAAAGCGGTGTAGATCCTGTGGAAAACGATCGAAGAATCGAAATTCTCAAAGAATTACTCCATTCTCAAGCCTGGGATAAATTCCTCTCAATCAAGTATCCCACTGTGAAAAGATATTGTGGCGAAGGGGCTGAATCATTATTGACCTTCTTTTCAACTTTATTTCGACTTACAACATCAGGTTAGTACGAGATTTTTGGATTTATTTTGTAACAAAAATTCCATAGCCTTATGAGAAATTTTCTGATTTACTCGTATGTGTTTCATGTGTGTCATAATCATCATCTCTGCCTGTTGAAAATAGACTTCTCCAATCGATCTCCAGTGCAGCCGGTCCGTTGGCATCTACATCCAACGTGACCCAGCGATTTTTATATCTTTTATTTGGAAAATATCGCCTATTACATATAATACGATATTCATTAGCGGATTTAAAAATTTTTGAAGAAGTATATTGGCCGGTAGAAAAAAAAACTTCAAACCACCAATCGAATGCGTATTTAAAACACTGCCTTTTGTTTACAGAAAGAATAGAACAAGTCATCTTAGGAATGGCCCATAGAGGGAAGTTGAACGTCCTCAGCGGGCTATTACAGTGTCCTCCGGTCAAGATCTTCCACAAGTTTACAGGAAGACCAGAGTTTCCGGACGAAGCAAACGCGGCTTGTGATATTTCAACCCATCTCAGTAAGGACTACTTCGCTTCTTCGCATCTTATTCCCTATTTTTGTTAGAAGTTGTTAGTTTGTATCTTTTTCTTCTTCTCTTAGACTTCTTATCGACTTACTTTTTTTTCAATTTCTCTTAGAGCTTTTTGTTTATTCATTACCCAAAAATATAATTTACTTGACGAAATAAGCCAACATCGGTAGTGCTAAGACTAAGACCTCAGTGTGACATTTCATTTCAAATATTTAATAATCTTTCTTCATCATAAGATCCTTAAAGTAAATCATTGATTTGACTCATGAAATTTTAATATCTCTTTCATATCAAATTGTATTAAAATGGATAATCATTATTAGAATTTTAAAGGACAAGGACGCTCGATTCAATGATTAGTAAAATAGCTATACTTTATTGTACAAAATTGTATAAAACCCGATGCTGAATAGCATAGATCTTTTTGCTTAGTGCGAGTTTTTTAACGTTCTCGATAGAGTAAAAGTCAAGTCAAATTTGTATGGAGTGGAACATTTGCCGACGTTTGCCACTAGGGGCGCTGTTCTAACTGTATACAAATTAGAGTTAACTTTTACGCTATCGAGAACGTTAGAAAACTCGCACTAAGCACACTGAACCGTTCAGACATTGGAACGAAGTGTCTCTAAGTGTCGTTTGTTAAGATTTTTTTCAGCAATCGAAGGACCCCACACATTAAATGAGCTCACTCTGTTCATGTTACGAAAGAAAGAAATACGTTTTATTTATTGCTTGTGGTTGGACGAACTCCCGGTCCGCCTGCTGTTAAGTGGTTACCGGAGCCCATAGACATCGAAAACGTAAAAGCTGCCACCCACCTTGAGACTTTGTAAGTCTAAGTTCTATAGCACAACGGCGGACCCAAAGAGAACATGCAGGTTGAAAAAAAATATGACAAATATTACGTGTGGATTAAAAAAAAAACAAGATTATCAATAAATCTATTTTTTTTTTATTTTTCAGGTGCATCAATAGACATAAAAGTGAACGATAGACATGTTCGATTTTCCTTACTAAATAATCCCTCACATTTAGAGGTACGTATATAAACACACACAGCTAATCACCTATTTTCTGACAAACGCAGACAGAGCTTATCCGCAGTCACATATTGAGACAGTACCCATATAAGTTGGAGGTTTTATTTATTGCTTATCTGGGTGTACGAGGTCACCACATCACAACGCAAATGCCGCCACCCATATCGAGACATGAGTTCTAAGGTCTCAGTTTTCATAGTACAATGGCTGCCCCACCCTTCAAACCGAAACTCGTTACTGTTTCACGGCTGTGTGGTAGTACGTACCCGTGCAGACTCACAAGATGTCCTACCACCAGTAAAAATGTACTAATGTGCTTTCGTTTTCAAACCTTAATGAGAGTCCTAACACAACAACGAACCCTTAAAGCATAATCAAAGAATGTCGTAAATACAAATAGCTGTCACTTAAGCTATACAACTTTAACAATTTATCTTACGTCGTACTGGCGTGAAGGATAGTTTAATCGTATATGTAGAGCGATGCGAATTTTCCTGGGTATTTGTTTATGTCTATGAGCTCCGGGAACCAATTAACATCGGGTTGGCCGTGAGCTGGTCCATCTACGAAACGAAAAAAGAAAAGAAACGAATTCTAAGTCTCAGTTTGATATAGTACAATACAATAGACATACGGTACAAAAACAATTTACTAAGTACCCTAATTTAAGGAAGAATATACTAAGGTTCAATGTATATGGAGCTCTGATGAGATGTTGAGCTACCGAGTGATTTCAGGCCGTGAACCCTGTTTCAATGGGAAAGACAAGGTCAAAGCAACTGCATTTAAAAGAGGGACAGTACTCACTGGACGACTCCTCCAGAATGGGAGACAAGGTGCTGAATGTTCAGGTACGTGACGCATTTTGAAGTTACCAGAACAAATAACTATTATCCAGCAGTAATATAGGTGAGGATGGTAAGGTGCACAAAACCACCACCAGGTCAGATTATAGACCCCTTCTTAGAGTTCCTTACCTCAATCATACTGGTTTACTATAGTAAGCCCACACGGGTAGGTACCACCAACTCGTCTCTTTCTGCTGCCTAGGAATCTGGCGTACCAATTTAATACAATTTACGAAGTATAATAGGGGTCCTTATGTCTGGTGGAAAACGGCATTCCCCATCAAGCAAACCATCAAAAGCTCTTGCCTGTCCGTGCCAACAATTACCTTTTCTCCAACGATCGCATTCATTTTCCTTGAGACTTATTTCAAAAATTCCTGTATCAGGTACACGGAGACGCAGCGTTTACCGGACAAGGAGTTAACCAGGAGACTCTGATGCTCTCTCAGGCTCCACACTTCAATGTGGGCGGGTCCCTGCACGTGGTCGTCAATAATCAGGTACGTACCGACAAAAAATTGTCTTCCTAATGAAGTTCCTTTTCTTGACGCAAATTCTAACGTCTGCACTTCAACGTCTAATAAAGATGAGGTCTACACCATGAAACCTCTTTTCATCTCTTGTCTTATATGTAAGAGCAGTGGTCAGCAGACAGGTGACTGGTATTTAAAAAAATATTGCATAAAGATATTTTTTTCAATCAAAAATTCGCTTAACTGGCGTTAAAACTATTGATAAAATTTGTAAGACTTTTTTGAGGAAAGCAAATTATGAATTTTCAGTACTTTAAATATAGTAGAAAGAGGTTTGGCTGTGAGCCTGGTATTGCTGATGATTGGAGACGTGACCAATCTGTATTCGAACCTAATTGAAATAATGAGGACACCGCCACGGATGAATTCGTATTGAGTAATCACATCTAGGTTTTAGGAGGTATTTTCACCTATTTTGTGTCATTGGAAGCGTGCTGACTATTGTTACAGGTCGGCTTCACCTTGCCAGCGTATCGGGGTCGTTCTTGTCGCTACGTCACGGATTTAGCTAAGTGCATTTCGGCCCCTGTTATACATGTAAATGGTGATCATCCGGAGGTAAGAATTATTTTGACACGAATGAAATACATTTATGCAAAGAAAATGGCAATCTTTATAAATATATCGCTCCGTTTTTGATGTAGCTTGGTATAGTTATGGTTGGCACTCCAAGATTTCTGGGCACTTCATGGTTTCTGTCACAGTGCCGTTATGATACAGATATTGCTGGCATGTTTGGAAGAGCTCCCCGGGTTGAGACCCGTGAGCTCGCCTAGACATGCGGTGAAGCCAGAATATCCTCTCGAGGCTACTGATAGTAGGTGTACAAAGAATAGATAGGAGGTGCGGGTAGTTTGAAAAAAAGTTTGTTTATCATGCAACTGGTGATAGTCACCGCAGAACGTTACAAAGTTTCACTTGTAATTGAATACAGGCCTGATAAGTGTATCTACATACTTAGATGTATAGTTTTAAGACGAATCTCCTCATTCCTGATTCGATCGCACAGGGAAATTACGAAATAGCACTCTCCGTTTCTCTTTGAGTGACCTTGAAGCCTTCGGATAAAGCCCGTTGTGAGCGACCCAGAAGGTAGATCGACGACCTGTTGAACCTTGTCGTCGGTACGTTGAATACGGGCAACGCAGTACAAGGCCTTGGGGTGAGGCTTGGGGGAGGCCTAGTCCAGCAGTAGACATATGTGGGCTAATAGATGGATGTAAAGAGGGAGTTAGGTAGAAATTAAAGGATGTTAACAAATCATACTTTCAGATATTGATGACCAAATTTTTTATTGCCATTTTTGATTGCCAATTCAGTCCACACACTGAGCACATGCCCAATCTATTAGAAATGTTACGTAACTTTATGGCTATCCACTTTTAAAATTACATTCCAATATGACTTGCTAATAAAATTACCTTCAGCTAGTGGTGAGAGCGACGAACATTGCGTTCGAGTATCAAAGGAAGTTCCGTAAGGACGTCTTCATAGACTACAATTGCTTCAGGAGATGGGGACACAACGAACTCGACGACCCGACCTTCACAAACCCACGTCTTTATAAACTAATACATAACAGGAAGTGAGTGTAATCTGTTTTTTTTTTTTCATTCTTTAAATTCCCAAATACGGCCCACGTGGCCATTCTAACAGTCAGTGTAAATAATGTGCATAGTCGTAATTAAAACTACAATACTTTTATTTTCATCTCAGTATTTGCAACTTTCGTGATTACAGACTGTCGATGATGATAATAATAATAATAGAATAACTGTAAAAAAAAGCGATCAATCCGTAAAACTAGCAAAAACCGAATAAAATCCAAATGTAGTAGTATTCTGAGAGCTTAATATAAAAGTCAAATTGAAAAGATACCGAAAACGTATGATAAAACTAATAAAATGTTACGGGATACGTTTCCTCGAAGATCCCAATTGTATTCAGCTCATATCTGAATCACAAAGACTTCTATCGACTTCAATCTCTCGGAAAAACGTAATGTCAAAATACTTGTAGATGTTTTTCGAACAATCACCATAGGGAGATGATTTCTTTGAAGTTACCGATCAGGGAAGCCGTGGATTGTTGGGCGGAGAGCCCGTATTCGCAACAGGATGAATGCCAGCACCCACATTGACATGACATGAATTCTAAGACCCAATTGTACTGTTGTAACGCATGTCCTCCCAAATCTCAATACATGAATGCCACGTGGAGGGAATTTTCATAAACATGCTGCCTACCTGCGCGGAATCGCAATACGAATTGACGTTTATAAACAAAATACACGTCTTTTATTTAATGCCATAGCAGACAGATCGATTGGAGAGCCTTATGTTGAGCAGTAGACAGCTATACGCTGAGATGATGATGATGACGAGGTGAAAAAGCATAAGGTGCTGGTGGGTGGTTGCAATCGCCCATGGACGTCAGCAATGAGAGGGACACAGCAAAACCGTCTCTAGTCGCTGTATACTCACCAAAAACCGCGTGAAGATGGATATGTCATAACAGGAGGGAAACACTTTGAAGGGATTTTTATTCCAAAGCCGTGTCTCGATCTTTGCGACTAAGTAATTTCGGTTAATATCTCCATTGACACTATGAAAATTAATGGACACATTCAGGAGGCACGTTATAAAATATGATCAGATAAAATAGACCAGACTTGTACTAACAAAACGTACACTTAAAGATTATTTTTTAGATTGTAATAGTTAATTCGTCTTTTGTTAAATTCAAAGGGTTCGGTTTGAAGGGTGGGGTAGCCGTTGTAACTATACTTGAGACCTTAAAACTTATATCTCAAGGTGGGTGGCGCATTTACGTTGTAGATGTCTTTGGGCTCCAGTAACCACTTAACACCAGGTGGACTGTGAGCTCGTCCACCCATCTATGCAATAGAAAAAAAACAAAAAAAGGAAAAATTTATCTTCCAAAAATTTGATACTCATCAATCATACTAAACACTTCGTTATAAACGGAAACATCACATACAGGTCGATTCCCGATGTTTACGTTGAAAGATTAATATCAGAAGGCGTTGTTACCGAAGAGGATGTGAATAACATCACTAGTGAATACACCAAGTACCTACAATCGCAATACGAAGCGGTGAACACGTACCAACCAGAGGTATGCTTGTCCATTTTTTTATAAGTAACACATGCCCAAAACTCGCTTGACGCTTAGCAGGTATTTTAGCCTATAAACAGTACACCCTTAACGCAATGTAACAAATAGGGAAACAAAAAAAAGTTACAGAACGAATAGTGAATAATGTGTTCCTAATTTCTTTTTTGTTTGCTCTCTCAGTAACGAAGATCGCGACAGTATACGATTTGTCTCCATATACATATTGTGTATTCAAATCAATAGATCGCTATAAAGCTTCTCCGATTGTCTCAATACAATATTTTTACACCATCGTTTTAGCATACAGCCTCTGAAGCGTTCCTCCTGCATCTGTTCCACGATCAATTGCTTCTGAAAATCATGAATATTTGAATCCATTATATGTCCGAAGTAGCTTAATTGGCACTTATTGCACAGAGAGGCAATTGGTTCTTTTTCTAAAATCTACTTCTATAACTTCTACTTAAATAAAGTCTTCACCAATCACTTTCTAATTTCAATTTTCATCTTAAAATCAAAAAGTAAAAATATCTTACTTTTAAAGTGCTGAATTTGAAAATAATTTAATCCAATTAAAATTTGTTAATCTCTTCCGGACAGGTTCCGTGTAAATCGAATTTCTATTAAAATTAAGAAACGAACGCTGTACTTCTGTGAAATTTAATTAATCAGAATATCCACTTCCTCAGTAGTGATTTAAGACAGTGATAAATTGGATTCGATTCGCTGCTTTATTAACTACTAGCGGCCCGCTCCGGCTTCGCTCGGGTCTTTAACAAAAGTTTTAGTAAGGATCTCTAATATTTGTAAAAAAAAAATGTAGTCTATGTCACTCGTGTAGCTTCCAAGCAGTGAAAGAATTTTTCAAATCGGTTCAGTAGTTTCGGGGCCTATTCAATACAAACAAACAAACAAATCTTTCCTCTTTATAATATTAGTATAGATATCATTTAACGCAGCTGAATGTGGAATAACTGGCACTTACTCATTTATATATAATATCGACTTTATTTTCTCTTTTGGTCTTTTTTTTTGATTTTTTTAAGAAAAAAACCACCAGTCTTAAAATGTTTAAAATTTCGTCAATAGCTACATTATCGGAACGGTACAGAGTGATAGTACATTCCCATAAGGGCTGAGAAGACGTCCTACCAGTAAAATTTATTGGTTTCGCATTGAAATTACCCAATCCCCATCCTTACGGCAGTTATCTATTTTTAGGTATCATATTATCAAGAACAGTGGTCGTCGATGTCACCTGCTCCAAAAGCAATAGAGACGTGGGATACTGGAGTAGACGAAAATCTTTTGAAGACAATAGGACAAGCATCTGTGAGAATTCCCAGTGAATTTGTAAGTTGATTCACGATTTTAAAAAATATATTAGAATTATTGCATGTACAGCCGTTAGTGATCCTAGCTCCTAGGTTAAAAAATCAATCATCATCTTAGTTCTTATTTCTAGTTAGAATCTAGTCTCTAGTTCTCGTAGATGTAGCGAAAAATCTTTGCTTGACACCATTATATATGGTACCATTATATATTATATATTATTATGCAACTTTCATTGATTATTCTATTGTTTTTATTAATATAAAGATCGTAGCTGTTGCATCATCAGAATTTATTGTACTTGAAGAAGAAATACATGACGTATCAAGAAATGGAAGGATCGATTGTTAAAATAGATAATGGCGAGTTTCCTACAATCTAAAGCTAAATGAACTGAATTAAACATTTAAAAATTTTACCAAATAAACTTTTTATCACGTTTCACTAATTCGACTTGGAGGACAATTTCTGTTCAGTGTAATTTTGTAGTTAGTTGATTTTAATGTAACTTCTCGATGAGCTAACCGCCATAAAAATTTAAACATAGCTATGTATCGTCATTCGATTCTTTTTTTTATTGTTCTTCTTGCCCTTATCCCACATTATGTGTCGACGGAGCATCTCTTCTTATCACGCTGCATAGGGATTTGGCATGAGTTTTACGACCAGCATGACGTCGATCCTTTTAGGGTTATATCTCCATATTACCATTGCATCGTGCCGTTATCTTTTATCGTACAATAAAAAGAAAGGAGAAAAGAAACGATAAAAGAAAAAGAGAAACACAATTTAAGTTTTAAAAAAAGATTCAATATCTCATTAATATGTAGATTAGACGTTCTTGTCGGAGACACGTACTCGAATTTTCCCCGATTCATGTAAATGAAAGCCTATTAATTATCTTCATCGTCCGTTCTTAACATACGCATGAATTCCGCCACAAAATTATCGGTGAATCTTAATAAACATTTGAAAACGTTTCAGAATATTCATCCACATTTAGCTAAAACGCACGTTAAGAATAGATTATCTAGAATATCCGAAGGCAAAGATCTGGACTGGGCGACAGCTGAGACTCTGGCTTTTGGTGAGTAAAAATCCGCGACTACTTCATAGACGTCTAAAGCAAAAAGTCTAATGATACAAAAATCAATACGTCGGAGAAAGATCTAGTAACGTATTCTCGGTGAATCTAGCATGACCACTCGAAGTCACTAGAATAGGTAGGAAAAAAAATGTTATATCTGAGTCGACTATTATCAAAGGCGGCAATCTGACTTTTGGACAATGATTGGTAAATCAGAAAAACGAATTATTGACTTTGTATTCCATCGGCAGTCACAAAACTCTTCGGAACGACATCTAAGATAAATAACAGGTTAACTATTAACCTTTATTTAATGCAGGTTTTGAACCGTATTCTTTGAAGGAGACGATTATATTCAAATCAATCTGTATTGACATATCAATAAAATTTTGTTGTCCAAATGCACAGATTGCCACCTTTGATAATAGACGACTCATCTGAAAGACGACAAGCTATCTTTCGCATATAAAGTTTTTTTTATTCCACACTGTCCCACGTCCAAATCGGATTACGTGACCGCTTTGAAACAAAAAATAAACATACAATATGCCTCCCCATCGCTAATAAAAAAAATTGTTATATTTTTTTTATTGCTTAGTTGGGTTGACGAGCTCACAGCCCACCTCGTGTTAAGTGGTTACTGGAACCCATAGACATCTACAACGTAAAATGCGCCACCCACCTTGAGATATAAGTTCTAAGGTCTCAGTATAGTTACAACGGCCGCTTCACCCTTCAAACCGAAACGCATTACTGCTTCGCTCCAGAAATAGGCGCGGTGGTGGTACCTACTCGTGCGGACTCACCAGAGGTCCTATCACCAGTTCGAGTAATTAAAGTATTGCTGCATCATATTCTGTGCCACTAGCGTCCGAAGAATAGCTATGACGGAGAGAAATATAAAATATTTGGTTTTTGTTGCGAAAGGTAAATGCGTCTTACTCACGTTTCACTATCGAATACATTACAGTTTCCGTATATCTTGTAAAGATTATAAAGATTTTGACAGTAAAAAACGCTATATTAAAGCAAAAGTAAGGTAGCTCGTCTTGTGAGTCCGCACGGGTAGGCACCACCACCCCACCTATTTCTGCCGTGAAGCAGTAATGCTTTTCGGCTTGAAGGGTGGGGCAGCCGTTGTAAATGTCTAAGGGCTCCAGTAACCAGTTAACACCATGTGGACTGTGAGCTCATCCACCCATCTAAGCAATAAAAAAATCACAACAAAATACCCATAATTAAATTGCACAATATTCGGTTGGATATAATATAATATTATAAATAAATTTGGATATAATAAAACCAATTCCAAATTCTAATTACGATTTATTATTAGCTTATATTTTTTTATGTTTTTATATTCCACCTAAATAGGTTCTCTTCTAATGGAGGGGCGCAATGTGAGGCTTAGCGGCGAAGACGTCGGCCGCGGTACATTCTCGCACAGACACGCGATGCTTGTCGACCAGGAAACCGAAGCTATACACGTTCCGTTAAATCATATGCACGAGGACCAAAAAGGATTTTTGGAAGTGAGACACGTTTTTAAACTTAAGTACTCATTAGCTTTATGTAAATCAAAAAATAACTTCGTAAATTCTTATCGTATTTCACAAACTCATGAGTGGGCCCCACTCCGGCTCACACAAGGTCTTTGACCCTGTGCATCAGGCGGGTAGATCGTGATTTTATCGTTCCACCTAGCTTGATATTCAAAATGTAAAATCTTTATATACTACTAATCTTTTTGTGCCATTTTATGGTCATCGTCGATGGACTACGGTAACACAAGGCACGCAGTCTGTCGCTGATATAATACCATCAATAATTCAAATATGCTCTATATACTCGTAATAATCAATCGTGTAATAAAAATCAAACTCGCAAAATTAAAATTTGCGTAATCACTGGTGGTAGGACCTCTTGGGAGTCCGCACGGGTAGGTACCACCACCCTGCCTATTGCTGCCGTGAAGCAGTAATGCGTTTCGGTTTGAAGGGCGGGGCAGCCGTTGTAACCATACTTGAGATCTTAGAACTTATATCTCAAGGTGGGTGGCGCATTTACGTTGTAGATGTCTATGGGCTCCAGTAATCACTTAACATTAGGTGGGCTGTGAGCTCGTCCACTCATCTAAGCAATAAAAAAAAAGTATTATGGAGGGCAGAAGTAAGGAGCAACATCTCAATTTACTAAAAGTGTTCTCTGCAAGGGAACCAATCAAGATGGCGCCATAGTAGCAAGTGGAAAAAATTTAAAAACGGCGCCATAAACTACCACGCTTCACTTTTTTCTTTTTTTTTTTTTTTTTATTGCCTTTGTAGGCAGACGAGCATACGGCCCACCCGATGGTAAGCGGTCACCGTCGCTCATGGACGTCAGCAATGCCAGGGGCAGAGCCAAGCCGCTGCCTACCATAAAAACTTCGACCCAGCACACTTCTCTCTGCTTAAAACTGCTATGTTCATATCATCTCCACTTCCTACACTAGCGCTCTTGGGGTCGGATGACCGTGCATAACTTGTTCTTAGTCGTTATTATTATTTCAGGTGGCTAATTCAATACTATCCGAGGAAGCAGTGCTGGGCTTTGAGTACGGGATGGCCTACGACAGCCCCGACAATCTCTGTATATGGGAGGCGCAGTTTGGCGACTTCTACAACGGAGCTCAAATAATAGTGGACGCGTTTATAGCTTCCGGAGAATGTAAGTTAGCATTTCATGTTTAGAAATTGTATTTTTATATGTTTTTATTTTTTTATTATTTGCGATCTTCGTTTTAATATTTAAATATATTTTTTATTGAATTTTTTCGATTATTCATTTATTATTAATTGAGAATTGGCAATTTTTATTTAATGTTGTCGTCCGGAGAATGTACATTGGAAATAGCCTTTTTTTATTACTGTTGACACATGACGGATGGTTTAGATTCACAAATCAGCCCGCAGATGGCGCTGCAGTCGGTATTTAGATTATTTTATGGCAAAACAAAGTTTGCCGGGTCACCTACTACATCTATTTTTTTTATTGCTTGGTTGGGTGGACGAGCTCACAGCCCACCTGGTGTTAAATGGTTACTAGAGCCCACATAAACGTAAATGTGCCATCCATCTTGAGATATAAGTTCTAAGGTCCCAGTATAGCTACAACGGCTGCCCCGCCCTTCAAACCGAAACGCATTACTGCTTCACGGCAAAAATAGGCACGGCGGTGGTACCAACCCGCGCGGACTCACAAGAGGTCCTAAAACAAGAGCATCTGCCTTACGTAACATCGATTTCGTGCAGCCAAGTGGGTCCGCAGTAACGGGCTGGTGATGCTTCTCCCGCACGGGTACGACGGCGCCGCGTCAGAGCACTCCTCGTGTCGGCTCGAGCGATTCCTCCAGTTGACCGACAGTCCGGAGAGCGCGCCGGACTCGGAGGCTGCGTGTCTGCACGTCGCCAACCCGACGACCCCGGCCCAGTACTTCCACTTGTTGAGGAGACAGGCGAGTAGCTCTTTTTATTATTGCATACTAGCGACCCGCCCTCGCTTCGCTTCGGAAACTGTAATTTATTATTGATATCTCCTCTATTTAATGGATGTAATTATACATATCGACGCTTGAAAGGCAAACGTGACTAAGCGACAATGCGTGAACTTTACAGTAGACTAATTTAAAGTTGAAATACCTGAAAAAAAATCTATTTTAACGAATCTAACTGTAGGATTGAAATGATTTTAATAGACCTAGAAATCTATTTTTTTTGCGCATCGAATATGGTTATTGCCTATCATTTATGTACAAAGCAGTTATTGTCGCTTAGTCACGTTTACCTTTCAAGCGTCGATATAAACCTTCCTCTTAAATCATTCTATCTATTGAAAAAAAGCCGCATCAAAATCCGTTGCGTAGTTTTAAAAATTTAAGCAGACTAAGGGTCGATTCGACCAAACAAGAGTAAATCTTATTCTTAGAATAACTCGTCAGTTAATCGAGAGTAAATCAATTTTACGTTTTACCATCTACAATTCTAAGAATAGTGGGCCTATTCGGGAATTGTTACTATACCGCCCTTTCGCACGGAATAACGGAGCTATTCCTAGAATAAAGTAATGGCGTCAGTCACTCCAATCATCTGATTTCTGTCATTTCATAAATATTTATTCTGTTTTAATTTCAAGTCAACGCAATGCACTAAATTATTATTAATAGTCTGGCATTGTATAATGCAATGTTTAAACGAAAAAAGATAAAACCACACAACAAAACTTGACAATTCCCTCAAACAAACAACAAATAAAAATATTACGTTTGACAGCTGGATATCTTACACAACAGCTACTTTTTCACACTAAAATACGGCAAAATCGAGTTGACGATTTGTATGCTCTTACACTATGCCGTTGAACAACAACATTTATTTGCCGGATTTTATTTTTGTTCACCATTCACTCTGCTATTCGCGTATTGTTATTCCTAGCGCAAGTATACGTGGAAAAACGACTATGNTCTTACACTATGCCGTTGAACAACAACATTTATTTGCCGGATTTTATTTTTGTTCACCATTCACTCTGCTATTCGCGTATTGTTATTCCTAGCGCAAGTATACGTGGAAAAACGACTATGAATTTACTCGAGATTAAAATCATGGAATAGGTTATTCCTCGTATAGTTACTCGAGTATAAATTTAAGTTTGGTCGAATCCACCCTTAGAGATATAGGGACAGAGAAAGCGACTTTGTTTTACACTATGTAGTGATATGGGTGGACAATCTCACAGTCAACTCGGTCTTAAGTGGTTATACAGTATCTCGACCAGCGGCAGGTTCGCCGGGAGCATCTCGCGCTGATACGCCCACGACGCCAGGATCTGCAAATATATTCAATTCGAACGTTCTCGAATATCGATTTGTTTGACGTCATATCACGACTACAGCAATAGAATGATTATAATTCTATACGAATTTCGGAAAAGTAATTTCGGGAAAGAGTTATAAAGGAATGGCAACACTGTTAAAAAAAAAACACTTTTTTATGGCTTAGATAAGTGGATGAGCTCACAGTCCACCTGGTGTTAAGTGGTTACTGAAGTCCTTAGACATCTATAACGTAAATGCGCCACCCACCTTGAGATATAAGTTCTAAGGTCTCAGTATAGTTACAACAGCTGCCCCACCCATCAAACCGAAACGCATTACTACTTCACGGCAGAAATAGGCAGGGCGATGGTACCTACCCGTGCGGACTCACAAGGCATCCTACGACCAGTAATTACGTAAATTATAATTTTGAGGGCTTGATTTTTTTTACACGATGCTATTCCTTCACCGTGGAAGCGAATCGTGAACATTTGTTAAGTACGTATTTCATTAGAAAAATTGGTACCAGCCTGCGGAATTCGAACACCGGTGCATCACTCAACACGAATGCACCAGACGTCTTATCCTTTAGGCCACGAAGACGTCATCGATTCGAATACAAATTTAACATTTTCCTATCAGCCTATGTAGTAACTATAAGCTATATATAACTCGGTTTATGTTGCCTTATTTTAACAATATTCATGAAAGAAAAAAGTAGACACTAAACACAAATATTCTAACGATAACACGTCGCTGGAACTCTAAACACAAAAAAAAAACAAATGAAGTAAACTTTCGAAGCCCTAACACAGACAAGATACTCTCAAGAGTTTGTACAAACTTTACGAAATTTGTATTTCGTTTATATGTTGTTTTTTGGTTAACTCCCAACAACCAATTACTAGTTTCATTAAGAAAAATTTTCACGTTTTCTTTGAACAAACTTCGGTTTTTTTGACGTGTTTGGACCAACTACATTAATTCATATGAAATACGCGCGATTATGTTCCTTTCAAATAATTGTGTATACTAGTTGACTCGGCAGACTTCGTAGTGCCTCAATCGATTTTGTATAAAAAAAACTTAAAAAAAACAAAAGTAATCCGTCCGACAGGGGACCCATCAAAGAAAAAACAAAATTGTTTGTTTTTATATAATTCCGAGCATTTTCATATTTATTCACCTTTTAAACCTTCTCTGGACTTCTACGAATAATTAAAGACCAAAATTAGCCAAATCGGTCCAGCCGTTCTCGAGTTTTAGCGAGACTAACGAACAGCAATTCATTTATATAATTATGTATAGATATTAGCGTTTTGGGGGTTTTGTTATAATATCTCATAACCATAACGTATCTACATAAATACAAATGCGCGTAATAATTATCAAGCTTTTTTTACCTCTACCTCTTCGCTGGTAGTCTAAGGATCTATTCCAGTTACGCCGGACGGCTAGATGAGCTCACGGACTCAACCTGAGAGAATTTACTAACACTAGCCCTAGTAAGAGCAGTGCTTTGAAGAAACTACTACCGGATAGGAATCGCGACCCACTGAGAAGAACCGGCGAGAAATTCAGTGGGTTTTCGTGCTAGCAACTTTTAAAGTATTGGGGAAAACTTAAACTCATGGACGTGACGTTGAAGTTATTGTGGCCTAAAGGTTAAGAAGGTGTATCGAGCAATGCGAATGTGTCAGGGTTCGAATCCCGTAAGCGGGGAGCGTTTTTTTTATTTTATGAAATACGTACTTAACTTAATGAACATCGTACAATAAAAATCAAATCCGCAAATAATACAATTTGCGTAATTATGTACCTCATAACTCCAGGTAGCTTCGTTCGCGTTGTCAATATAGTGTATTTTGACTCTGGCCTGTTATTCTAATAGTAATTAAAATGTCTAATGTCAGATAATGAAACAAAATCACTGAAAATGGCTAATACGGAAAATTGATTTACAAATTAGTTATTTACCATATATATGCTATACATCTTCTCATAATTCCAACTAATAATCTGTTACAGGTTGTCCGTAACTACAGGAAGCCGTTGATAGTTGTAGCTCCGAAATTGCTGCTCCGCTTAGCCGATGCCGTCTCGCCCCTGTCCGATTTCGCACCCCGTACTCACTTCCAGCCAGTAATCGGTAAATTATTAAGTTAATTTTTTTTTTATAATTTTTTTTTTGCCTCACCGCCTTAGGGTCGATTCGACCAAACAAGAGTAAATCTTATTCTTAGAATAACTCGTCAGTTAATCGAGAGTAAATCAATTTTACGTTTTACCATCTACAATTCTAAGAATAGTGGGCCTATTCGGGAATTGTTACTATACCGCCGTTTCGCACGGAATAACGGAGCTATTCCTAGAATAAAGTAATGGCGTCAGTCAGTCCTACATCTGATTTCTGTCATTTCATAAATATTTATTCTGTTTTAATTTCAAGTCAACGCAATGCACTAAATTATTATTAATAGTCTGGCATTGTATAATGCAACGTTTAAACGAAAAAAGATAAAACCACACGACAAAACTTGACAATTCCCTCAAACAAACAACAAATAAAAATAATACGTTTGACAGCTGGATATCTTTNATTATTATTAATAGTCTGGCATTGTATAATGCAACGTTTAAACGAAAAAAGATAAAACCACACGACAAAACTTGACAATTCCCTCAAACAAACAACAAATAAAAATAATACGTTTGACAGCTGGATATCTTTCACAACAGCTACTTTTTCACACTAAAATACGGCAAAATCGAGTTGACGATTTGTATGCTCTTACACTATGCCGTTAAACAACAACATTTATTTGCCGGATTTTATTTTTGTTCACCATTCACTCTGCTATTCGCGTATTGTTATTCCTAGCGCAAGTATACGTGGAAAAACGACTATGGATTTACTCGAGATTAAAATCATGGAATAGGTTATTCCTCGTATAGTTACTCGAGTATAAATTTAAGTTTGGTCGAATCCACCCTTAGACATTTATTTTATCAATGTCACAGTATGCACAAAAATGACAGATATTAGAGAAATAAATATCTAAATACACATTAATTTAATCAGTTAATCCAAACGCGGATCTGTGGTTTTAAGGAGAGCACAAACAATATGCTAGACTAACTACTTTAAAGATAAATATTATTTAATAGGTAAGAATTTACATGGAATATTTACATATTTAGAACATACTAAAGTTAAAAGAGAATTATAATATTAATAGGCCAGGGGATGTCTCTTGGAAGGATATCATATTATGTTAAAATAAAATGCTGTATAATGATGTGAGATAAAGAACGGCGCGTAATGTAACTTGAAATCAGCCGAGGCACAAGGTCAAGAACCTCGTGTCGCACTCTTCGTAATACATTACTGCTTGCTGAACTATGAATATATTGTAACTAGGAGTACATTAAACTGGTGGTAGGACCTCTTGTGAGTCCGCGCGGGTAGGTACCACCACCCCGCCTGTTTCTGCCGTGAAGCAGTAATGCGTTTCAGTACGAAGGGTGGGGCAGCCGTTGTAACTATACTGAGACCTTAGAACTTATATCTCAAGGTGGGTGGCGCATTTATGTTGTAGATGTCTACGGGCTCCAGTAACCACTTAACACCAGGTGGGCTGTGAGGTCGTCCACCAATCTAAGCAATAAAAAAAAAATTGGAACTGCTCTCTGGTTCATTTATCTATTTAGAGGGAGAGAAAACACAATTTACATTCAAAAAACAATCAAAAAAAGCAGATAAATTTGTACAATAGGCGGTCTTATCGCTAAAAGTGATCTCTTCCAGACAACCGTTTAATTTATAGAAATTCTGGAAACTATAAAAAAAAATATAGCAGGTATGTTGCGGTGTATTATAGATAATACATTATAGAAAATATATACATACAATAAACAAAATATATACCGTTTACATATAATTTTATTCATTAATTAAAATAAATTTGATGTGAAATTATTGTATCTATTATAAATGTTAAGTTTTAATGGAAACCCGTCATGAAGCTACTTATATGTATTACTTTTATCGTCATCTGAATATTCGTATTTGTTTTAAATTTCTTTGACATTTCATAATATAGCAATAGAAGTAAAATAAGCCAACGACATATTTCTTCTCCAGTCCACTTCAGAACTAAATATTAATTGGAACCTTCGATCAATAATAGTACTAGATTAAGGATCAGGAACAAAAATAAGACGCTCCAGTGGCCACGTTTGCAGACACGAAAACATCTTCATTTCTTAGAAAAAAGTTTAATAATGTTAACGACTTCAGTTTATTATAAACCTTAATACTTAAACATAAAGTTTAATTACCATTGCAAAATATATGTATTTAGGTCCTTTNGAGGGCGTCCTCCAGGACTAGAGGGGGAGTATGTAGCAAACCGACCGGTACGTCACTCTCGCGGCCGTATGCCCGCTCGCTATACATAGTTAGCATCTATGTCGATCTTTTCAACAGTGTATAATCTATGTTCCGGGCGCTTCCGTTTTGAGTGTGAATAGCGTGCGCCCGCGTCTAAATGTAATTATTGTTTAAAACTGAAAATTGTTTGTGATAAAGGAAGATTAAAATTCGAAATTCGATATTGGTGACTAACCCATAGTTTTAAATACCCCTGAGATCTACCCCTCACTATAAGGTGATGTTTGTTACAATAGTTGGTGCCTTGTTGCAAACATTGGCCAAACAATTACAATATTCGTAAATTGTGTTTTATTTACAATATAATTGTGTTTATTATTTTATGAAAAACACTTAATAATATAAATTTACCAAAAAAAGATATTCCTTCCAAAAACTTGGTGTTACGGTGGTTTTTTACTCAGTTTTTGAACGCGCATTGCAGCGTTTTGACGTCTTAGTGTTGGCTATGATTGGACCATACTAATTTGAAATAAGACCACAAATTTATTTGTGGTCTTATTTTTCGGGCCGTTTTTGAAGCGCTAATCGCGAATCTAGTAGTATTATTGATCGAAGATTGGAACATTCCGATGATTTTATATTCGAATATTTAAATCGCTTCCCAACTCAAATAGTTGTTACAGCGACCTGAATCCAATGAGAACGACACAAAAACATACTAATAATTCTTTTTATGAAAAACTTTGGAGACTTCTCGAATAACTTTCCTCTTTTAAGACATTTTATTCGCGCTTTCATTGTCATTAGGCAAAAAGTTTTTATACGAATAAAAACAAGAAGTTGTCTAAAAAAAATACTTAAAAATTTTACGCACCGCGGCCATGAATTTCATTATAATAAATCTACATATCGAGGGCTGAAATACTATTTGGTTTAAGCAACATTTTTGCAACTTTACAGGAGAGCTTTTTAAAGTTTAAAATTTGGAAATAGTAATAATATCATAACATAAAAAAAAAACTTTTTATTTATTTTTTATTGCTTAGATGGATGAATCTATCGAGAAACTTGTTGTTCAGGGTAAGGTCAATGGTAAGAGATCTCGTGGACGAATCCCCATGCGTTGGACTGATCAGATGAAAGACCTTACTGAAACCCCACTTAACGAGTGTGTGCGCCGGCCTCGGTTCGCAAACTATGGAAAACATCTGTCAAGGCTTTATTAAGCAAGAATTCCACATGACCACGACTGCTCTGCCAAGAGCAACCGATTATGATGATGGATGAATGATCTCACTGCCCACCTGTTTTTAAGTGATTACTGGAGCCCATAGACATCTACAAACTAAATACCAAATACCAAAGTAATCCACCTAAGATATGAACTGATTATAGTTGTAACGGCTGCCCCACTCTTAAACCAAAATTCATTACTGGTTCACGGCAGAAATAGGCAGGGTGGTGGGACTCACAAGAGGCCCTGCCACCAGTAATTACGCTAATTATAGTTTTGCGAGTTTGTTTTTTATTACACGAAGCTATTCCTTCACCGTGGAAGTAAATCGTGAACATTTGTTAAGCACGTATTTCATTAGAAAAACTGGCATCCGCCTGCGGGATTCGAACACCGGTGCATCGCAAGATACGAACGCACCGAACGTCTTATCCTTTAGGCCACGATGACTTTAGCTATTTGAATGGAGTAGACTTAATTGAAGTTCAATCAAAAACATCGAATTGTCGATGCTAATACCAATTAAAACGGACTTTTAATTACAAAGATAAAATGTCGCGTATTAAGCGAAATATCGCTTTTTTTTATCGCCTTTGTAGGCAGACGAGTCCATTCTAAGGCAGCTAGACATCCCAAAAAGGCTCTCTTCCATCTACCGGAAACGTGTTAAGAGCTTCTTTGGACACATCATGCGGTCACCCAGGCATGAATTAGAAAAGCTCATAATTACGGGTCGCATAGACGGCGAGAGGCAGTGCAGGCCGTGGAGGCCATCCACGGCGCGCTTGGGTAAGCGCGGCGTGGGCAGAACACCAGCCAGATGGTCAGATCTAGCAAGAAAAGCACTCGGTGGTAGTCTGTACCATGCAGTCCATGCCACCCATGATCGAGCACAGTGGAAGTACGTCGCATGTGGTCGCGATCCTCAGTAGTGAGAGAACGATATAGAAGAAGAAGAAGGCAGACGAGCATACGGCCCACCTGATGGTAAGTAGTCACCGTTGCTCATGGACGTCCTCAATGCCAGGGGCAGAGCCAAGCCGCTGCCTACCATAAAACCAAACAGCCTTTCAGCCCTCGGTATGAAATAGACGCTTGTTATATTGTTTCTAGGTGACGGTTTGGCTGATGCGTTGAAAGTGAAGCGGGTGATCTTTGTAAGTGGTAAGCATTACTACGAGCTGAACAAAGAGCGCGTGCGGGCGAGGCTGGAGGACGTGGCCATCGTGAGGGTGGAAGCACTCGCACCCTTCCCCCTCCCGGAGCTACAGACGCAACTCAGCAAATACAAAAACGCCACGAGTAAGTCATTTCTGTTATATCCCGTGAATTCTAGTAGTTCAAGCCCACTGAGTTTCTCGCCGGATCTTCTCACTGGGTCGCGTTTCCGATCCGGTGGTAGATTCCGCGAAGCACTGCTCTTGCTAGGGCCACTGTTAGTATCACTCCAGTGTGGGCCCCATGAGCTCACTGAAATAGCCTCTCAAGGCAAGTTTAGGTAGGAAAAAAAAAATTGTTCAAGTAATTTTCGTTCGGAAACTTCGAGTCTACGTGGGGATTTCGTTTTGTTGGTGCTCTGAAGAAATATCTTAAATTATCCCGCCATCTCCTTCACGCCATCGAAGTAGGATTCATTCCATTCCTACTACCACCCACCATCCGGTTCTGGAATTTACCACACCTAAGGCTTTGCTTTAGCGCTATTCACTCGAGGTCACAAGAGAATTCTCAGTTGGTAGGAAGCGCTTTTGCTGTGTCCCTATAATTCATGAGAAACAGTGAACACTGTCCATAAAGTATGCCACGTGGATCTTAGAAAACAGTACCAAAAAAAATGTTGCCCAAAATCAAAGCCTCCCAATCTTGGATCTTTGAAGAAGCAATAACTACAAACCTTAAGCTCCTCTTACTAAATCAAATAGTTTTCTGAAGAAATTAGAGGTCATCGTCAGTCACATTGACTTTTATTTTCTTTATTATCACCAAAATTCATTTCATTAGGGCTCTTCTTATGAAATCCATCTTTACGACTGGCTTAAAGTTCACCGCGATCCTTGACCTGACCGGTCGTTGCACGACGTATATAATACTTAGGTATGGTCCTATTAAAATATGCCTGATATTAGGTGACATTATGGGCTCAGAACCTAAAAAATGACCGGTGTATTCATATCGAGAATTCTGACTTGATTGAGTTTCAAAGTAGTAATTCCCATTAAGAATAATTCCCATCCCAATTAAGAGTAATTTTCATCGATCAGATCTTCTTAGTTAATATGCACCTAACTTTTTTTTTTCTTGCTTAGATGGCTGTACGAGCTCACAGCCCACCTGGTGTTAAGTGGTTACTGGAGCCCATAGACATCTACAACGTAAATGCGACACCCATCTTGAGATATAAATTCTAAGGTCTCAGTATAGTCACAACGGCTACCCCATCCTTCAAACTGAAAAGCTGCTTGAATTACTGCTTCACGGCAGAAATAGGCGGGGTGGTGGTACCTACCCGTGCGGACTCATAAGAGGTCCTACCGTCTCTTCACGAACCACTTTCCCGAAAAAGGAATAAAAACATGGTGCATTTAAAAACAGTGTTGCATTATTCTAAATTTCCTTTTTTTTTATTGCACTTGTAGGCAGACGAGCATACGGCCCACATGATGGTGAGTGGTTACCGTCGCCCATGGACTTCAGCAATGCCAGGAGCAGAGCCAAGCCGCTGCCTACCGCTTTTGCGTGATCGTTGATGGTAGGGCTATTGTAAGCCCGCACTGGTTTAACCAGCATCCTAAAAATGTCTGCTAAGCAGGAATGCAATTGAAACTTCGACATCTTATCGCAGGGCGTTAGTGATGTCTGTAGACACCTGCTCCCACCGCATGGATCGTGAACTTATCTGCTCATCTAAAGCAATAGAGACATGTTATCGAAGTCTCAATTATATTTTGTAACAGCTTACCAAACAGGAACGCATAAATGCTTCCTAGAAAAAGTCGTGGTTCGTTAATACCTATTTATATGGCTCTCAAAAGTTCTGCTACCATCAAAATCGCCGCATACAAAACGTATTTAATTTCGCAGAGTTTATCTGGAGTCAAGAGGAGCACAGAAACATGGGAGCGTGGAGCTTCATGAAGCCTCGCTTCGAAAACCTTTGCGGGCGAAAGGTAAATTTTGCTTACAAATAAATTACACCATTTGGCTTATGTCCCATAACAAGTTAAAGACGACTAAAGTGTATTTTATACATTCATATTTAATGCCCGTTTTTGGGGACAAATTCGGTAGTTAGGAAAACCCATAGGATATCACAAGGTCAAGGCCGTCAGTCATAAATAGACAGGTTGGCATCTGAGTTGCCCGCACGGGTAGGAACTTACCACCACCCCACCTATTTTTACCGTGTAGTTATAATTCGTTTCGGTCTCATGTCTCAAGGTGGGCGTTGGCATTTATGTTGCTGATGTCTATGGGCCCCGGTAACCACTTAACACCAGGTTGTGAGCTCGTCCGCTCAATTAAGCAATAAAAAATCTTCCAGTGCGGTCTGAAAATCACGACCCAATACAAATAATTATGCAAATGAAGTCCTACTTTAAAAATAGGCGTAGTTTTAAAATAAACAAAACCTACTTACATAGCAAATAGAAGTAACTATTCATTTCATCTTTTTCGTCCTAAACTCAAAGATTCTGTTAAACACAAACAAACATACCAAGTAAATAGAAGCGCTTATCCGACCGCGACGAGCAACGCAAAGCCACCGTCGCCCGAAACATGTCTTGACAGATCCCTCGGATTCACTCTCTGAGCTTTTAGACCTCTCAAGCACCGGTCACCGTCCTCGTCGAACTCGTCGATTACGACGAAGAGTTCGGACGAACGAAATCAAATCCATAGACACAGCCCACTGAGTTTCTCGCCGGATCTTCTGAGTGGGTCGCGATTCCGATCCGGTGGTAGATTCTGCGAAGCACTGCTCTTGCTAGTGTTAGCAAACTCTCTCGGGTTAAGCTCATGAGCTCACCTACCAGTCCGGGCGTAGCTGGAATAGCCTCTTAGGCTGCCAGTGAATAGGTAGGCATAAAAAATATATAAAAATTAAAAAAAAAAGTTTTAAAAAATACGCTTTTTTTTACAATAAAATCATTTTTTCTTACACTATTTTTAATTCAAATTTATTAAAATTTATTTTCTATTTTTTAGTTGGATTTTCTATAAAAGCGTTATATTTTTTAGTTGTTTTTAAACTATTACCTATTGATTATTCTTTGCTTTCAGTTGGTGTACGCGGGAAGGTCTGAGGCGCCGACCCCCGCGGTGGGCGCTAGTTCACTTCATCGCGTCGAAGTTGAGCACGTGTTGAAAGAACCATTGTATAATTTAAAATAATTTTGTAGGAAATAAATTTTATTATTTAAATATTGTTAACGAAGTTTTAATTACACGAAATATATAAAATAAACACTTGATTGTACTATAAATAGTGTAATCATGTTCTCGTCTCGGGAAATCTTAAGAAAATACGAAAAGGTATCAACTTGACTTTCGAGATAGTTTTAATTCGAAGGCTACTGAGCGCGAACATACAGCGGCTTAACTCTGCCTCTGGCATCGCTGACGTCCAAGGGCGACAGTAACCTCTCACCATCAGGTGGACCATATGCTCATCTGCCTACAAAGGCAATAAAAAAAAAAGAATAGAACATACTCCTATTAGAATTTATCTTAATATATTACTCAATTTTCTTTCTCTCTCTTTACCTAATCTTCTGGGTTTGATAATTGAGCACACATGTACATAGTACATAATATATCTATAATGCTATGCAGTATAGGAACGTCACTAGCATTCCACGCACGGTCCTGACCATTCTTTGGCACACCCAAGACATATTTGTGTAGGATTGGTAAGAATGGAACGTATGGAAAGAGTGTGGAACGAAGCGTTAAGAACTCGCCGGATCTTCTCAGTGGGTCGCGATTCCGATCCGGTAGTAGATTCATTCGCGAAGCAACTACTCTTGAGTTTCTAGGCCTCCTTTGGAGGCGCTCGGATAGCTGTTAGCAAAGCCTACCCCTCCTGTCTGAGTCCTTGCTCGCCCACCTGCCCTGGTAAAACTGGAAAGGCCTCCGGGCCACCAGTAATCTCTCAAACATAAAAAGGAGCTTTAAGATGTGATTGAGACAAAACAATAAGAAATGTAAAAGAGAATGACACAGAATAGGAAGATAGCGAAGACGATTAAAATGAGCAAGGCGTAAAAGGTGTCTGTTGATTTTTTATTATTATAATAAAGAACATTTTAGAAAAAAAACGGACAAAAGTGTAACAGTGGAGTAGTTTTATTTTATGCGCCACGATCCCAATTCTACATACGCAGTTGTTGTAAATTACTATCAAGAAATTCTATCGAAATTATCATTAAAAAAAACGTATTTAATAAATAAATACAAGTAACAATAATATACAAAAACAAGTGACAAGCTTTTTTAATGTATAAAATAAAAAATCCCACTCGAAAGCTTTCCCATGCTTTACATAAGATGGTTTTTCTTAAAATAATTATTTTGTCCAAGACCTACTGTGGCGAACACTAAATCCTTGTCTTTCCCTTTTTTTCAAGGACAAAAAGAAAAAAAAAATTCTGTTCGCGTATTGTGCGCACTGCACGCATTACATGGTACGCAGAGGATCATTAATCATCGTTATACCCAACCGAGATGAATAAGGACGCGTGCTATAAACGTCATATTAGCAGGGATTTCAACTAAATATTGAGCTTAACACAAATATGAGTAAAATTCATGGGTGCTTCCATTAGGTACAAGCAGAAATATAATTTTTTTTGAGTGTTGACTTAATAATGATATGGTTTATTTACAATTGCGACTGGAGATGATTGAAAGTATGGCTTGTGAGGCATTGTTTTTTTGGTGGTAGGACGCTTCATGACAGTGAGGATTTCGTGAAGAGGAATGCAGTTTTAAAAAAAAAACGTAGGTATTTATATTTACAGGCCGCTGAGTTCGAACAAGCTCAACTATTTTTTTCACGTTTCACTAAACTTCCGAAGTTGCGAAGCGAAACGTGACCGCGATGAGTTTGATCAATAATGGAGTTACCAAAACAACGTAAAAAGCGAAAAAAAAAAACATTCCCAGAACTCAACGTATTAACTGAATTCCTATAAATATAATGGCCGGTAAAGGAAAAGGAAAGAAAAAGGAAAAGAAAGATGCAGATGAAGGTAAATAATAATATTTGAACGCTTTGTTTAGGCTTTTGTTCAATATACTGGTCTGATATTTTATTATTATTATTAAAACGTGTGTCCTAACGTCTACTAAGCTGATTAGTGTTATGACAACTCGTTCAAACAAAACCTAAATAGAATTTTAGATGCTGTAAGTATCCGTGAATTGCGTTGGCCAATATATTATTATGTATATACGGTAAGACTAACCCACATATGCCTTACCGCTACTTATTGCTTTCTGACGCAGTATTCATTCAATATAGAAAATACAATCTCAAAAATGAATTAGTCGTTCAGTGTGTTGATAGAATTATAGTGTACCATATTATAAAGTGCCATATATAGTGTGCCATATAGTGTGCCAGTGTGTAGATATCATCAACGTATTGTACCTAATATTAGTTCGGTGAAAATTAAACTTGGAATAATATTTTAGGCGGAGACAAAAAGAAATCCAAGAAGGGGGCTCCGCGCGGGAAAAAAGGCAAGTCCAAAGGCCGTTGCAATGTTGACATGCTGACCGAGGCTGCTATGGACAATGTGTACTACGCGTGCCATAACGTACAGGAATTGCTTCAGGCGAGAGGATTCCATCCACCAGACTTCAATAAGAAGAAGAAAAAAGGGAAACGTTAATGTAAATTGTAGTTTTAAAAGCAAAATATTGGAGGTGCTTTTTGCAAAAGTCGTTTAATAAATGTTTGTTGTTTTATTTTTTCTTGGGATCTGGATCTTTAGATCAAGTGATGGCATAGAACACCTACAGTGTATTATTTATTGAAATCTCCGATGGTGAGTAATAAACTGAATTCACATCAATTTGGTTTCTTCATTTAGAATTATTCAATCGACTATTAAAATTTATGACCAAGGCAGACATACCTATATTTACTCATAAAGAGAATGTATCATAAACCATGTATTGAATGTTCAAATGTAATAATACAAATTACGTAATAATTAAAACAATGGATTAACATAAAATTTTAAATGGATTGACCAGTGAATAAATTTTCCAAAGTAAACATAGGACATATTTTATTCATTATTAAAAAAACGTTTAGATATAACCATATTATATTATGTATTTATAATTTTATTTATTAATTTCATTCTTTTAAAACTTTATGAAAGCAATCAAAGCAATGTCATCTTTGATTCATCCTATTTTCTTTCAACATTAACCAATGATTTACATATAAAATATCATTGACATTAACAAAACTAATCAATGGCGTTGACAATTTGAGAAAATATATCAAAACCAAATTGAAGTGGTGAAGTTTAGATTTAAAAAAAAAATGGATCACAAGATTACTAGTAAATTACATGTTGCATAGAAATGTATGTTCTAAATTCTTCTTTCCCGTATTATTTTTGTTGTATTTTCTAATCTCATAATTTCTTCAGGTGACTTCAAACCAAAGGTGAAAAAAACGCTATACATTTAAATTATTATTTATTGCGTATTTATAAACATACTTTATCAATTGACATCAAATTTTTAAAGATAATTCATTTGCTTTATCAAAACTATCTACAGGAACATGAGTGTCCATTTTTTTTATCCTATCTATGCTGACAGCCTTTAGAGGCTAGAGCAGTGCTTCGCAGAATCTACCACCGGATCGGAAACACGACCCACTGGGAAGATCCGGTGAGAAAATCAGTGGGCTGTGTCTAGGTGTAAATTTACTAGCCGAGCCTTTCGTCGCAAGCGACGGGTTCGACGAGGATGGTGATCGGCGCTTGAGGTACCTAAAGGCACCGTGGATCGGGAGGACCCGTAATAACGTGTTTAGGGCGACGTCGACTGTTTACCATTCGGTCCACAGGATCGGGTATGTAATTTCCGGCGGCCACGACAAGAGGGTTTTCGTGTCGTGCCGCCTTCTCAAAGTAGCACATTGATGCAGACTGTATATACTTACTGATTGAATCAAGCTCCAAGTCATCATGGAGGTCGACGTTCCTGACGAATCACGGGGCTCCGACGGCTATCCTGCAAAAACGGGATTGAATGACTTAAAGGGGTTTCAAACTAGTGCGGGCCGCGTGAGCGAACAGTACACTTGCGTAGGTGATGACCGGACGTATGCAAGTTTTGTAACGTGTCACCTTATTACGAAGAGACAATTTACTTCGCTTGCAAATCAGGGGATAGAGGCGTCAACTGTCTAATAACACCTTCTTCTCTAAACTTAAAGATCTAAAATGGTACCAGCTGTTGGAATAGATCTGGGAACAACATATTCCTGCGTGGGAGTCTTCCAGCACAGCAAAGTGGAAATCATAGCTAACGACCAGGGTAACAGAACAACACCATCCTACGTCGCTTTTACTGAGACAGAGAGATTAATTGGAGATCCTGCGAAGAACCAGGTACATAGAGTATATCTCACCAACCACTATTACTACTGCTTTAACGATAAGTATTATCTAGATGTAATAATAAGTTTAAATATCGTGCAGGTGGCGATGAACCCAAAGAACACAGTTTTTGATGCTAAACGCCTCATCGGACGAAAATTCGGTGATCCAAAAGTACAACAAGACATAAAGCATTGGCCTTTTCAAGTTATTTCGGAAGGTGGTGAACCAAAAATTGTCGTCGAATATAAAGGGGATACAAGGAAATTCGCTCCTGAAGAGATATCTTCAATGGTTTTAACGAAAATGAAAGAAATTGCGGAAAAGTTTCTGGGTGGCGTCGTGAATGATGCAGTCATCACTGTACCGGCTTATTTTAATGATTCTCAGCGTCAAGCTACAAAAGATGCCGGTGTTATCGCTGGTTTAAACGTTCTTAGAATCATCAACGAGCCAACAGCAGCAGCTCTAGCCTATGGACTGGACAAAAATTTAAAAGGCGAAAGAAATGTTTTGATATTTGACCTTGGCGGAGGGACTTTTGATGTTTCAGTACTTCAAATATCTGAAGGATCTCTATTTGAAGTAAAATCAACAGCTGGAGACACACATTTGGGTGGTGAAGACTTTGATAGCCGAATGGTAGATCATTTTTGTCAAGAGTTTGAAAAGAAATACAAAAGAAAAATTAAAGAAAATCCTAAAGCTTTAAGAAGACTTCGTACCGCTTGCGAAAGATGTAAAAGAACATTATCTTCAAGTACTGAAGCCAGTATAGAAATAGATGCATTACACGATGGTATAGATTTCTATTCTAAGCTGTCAAGGGCTCGCTTTGAAGATTTATGTTCGGATTTGTTCAGACAAACTCTTGAACCAGTCGAACAAGCCCTAAAAGATGCAGGATTCAATACGAGAGAAATACACGATGTTGTCATGGTGGGAGGCTCTACTAGAATACCAAAAATCCAACGATTATTGCAGGTGCACACGAATGCATTCTGCTTTAATGACTTGCAATTCCTCAAGAATACATAAAAAACAAATTAAATAATTTTCTTGCAGGATTTCTTTGGTGGTAAAACGCTAAACATGTCCATCAATCCAGACGAAGCTGTAGCGTACGGAGCCGCAGTGCAAGCAGCCATTCTCACTGGTAGCAAAGACACACGTATTCAGGATGTGCTCCTTGTTGATGTGATCCCATTGTCTCTCGGTATTGAGACTGCTGGGGGTGTCATGACACGCTTGGTAGACAGGAACTCAACGATACCTACCACACAGAAGAAAATTTTCACCACATACGCTGATAACCAACCTGCTGTGACTATTCGGGTTATTTCCATTAAACATTCTCCGTTCGTGACTATCAAAACGAAACGACCGACTTATGTACTTTCCTTTGTAGATCTACGAAGGGGAACGCGTTCTGACAAAAGATAACAACCTTTTGGGTACATTTAATTTGTCTGGAATACCACCAGCTCCAAGAGGAGTACCACAAATAGAGGTGAATAATGTCTTACTATAAGGTTGTGTGAAATTTTCAACTATAAACTACAGTCTTATATGTACCATTTATGGCAGAAGTATACCACGGTGGATATGTATGTCAGTTAAGATGGGAATTACTATGCTGCCTAATTCCGCAGAAATACAATGATCGATTTGAAATGTAGGAATGCTGCTACTTAAATTCAATTGAGAGTCCGACCCCATATATCATTAGCAAGTTATTTATTTCAATTTCGTCTTGTACCAGGTAACTTTCGATGTAGATGCCAATGGCATCCTCAATGTTAGCGCTGAAGATAGAAGCACTGGTCGTTCGGAGAACATTACAATTTCAAATGACAAGGGCCGTCTTAGTAAACAGGACATTGAAAATATGCTTAGAGACGCGGAGAAGTTTAAAGCCGAGGATGAAGCTATAAAAAAGGGAGTTGAATCGAGAAACCGACTGGAGGGATACCTTTTTGGATGTAAAGCAGTAAGTAGTTTGAGACTACCTTGGCCTAATAGGTAAGACACTCGGTGTACTTTGGCAGAACACATTTATTATCTGACATTGTTATGTAGGTACAAATATGTACTGGTATTGATTTGCATACAAATTATAGGAACTTACATATAAGTTGTATGTGTGTTTCAAAGATTGTTTCTAGGCTATGGTCGATTCTCGGTTTCACCATTTTTTTTTAAATTCTATATTTTTTGTGAGTTTGTTTGTTCGCGATCTATAAATTCGCCAATGATTATCTTTTTTTTTTTATCTTGTCATGGGCTGCTCCTTTTGTCTGTGCAATAAAATACAAATAACAGTTACTATAATCAAATTTATACCCACAAAAAAAAAACTAGAAAAACAAAGCCAAAACAGTCTTCACGATTATCAGGCGTGATTTGTAGTACTGACGGTTGCTAGGGTGGGACAGTCAGGGGGCGGCACCATTCGCATTGTGATATACATGGGCTCCGATAAGCGTTTGCCGCAGGCCGTGAGCTCGGACATCCATTTGTCCTGTTTTAAAAAAAACCATTTGATAGGCAGTCGAAAACGCCGGTGAGAGACTGACAGAAACCGAAAAGAACGCAGTTATAACAGAATGCAGTGCCCAGCTGCGATGGCTGGAAGCCAATCCTGACGCGCCAGAAGCACAAACCGAGCAACGCCTCAAGGACGCCCAGAGAGTCTGCCAACCGGTGATGATGAAACTCCATGGAGCTGGAGGAGCCGGCGCTAGACCTGCTACTTCTGATGGACCGAGGGTTGAAGAAGTTAATTAACCGTTGCTATACACAAAATCGATATTTGAGACTGCCAAGAAACTTACCCACTAATATAGTCACGCAGTGAAGTTCACGTTAAGCACATTCAAAAACTTGAACACAATCTAATTAGGCTTAATAGTAAGATGCCCTACCCAAATCATTGGGTTAAACATCAATACAGCTAATATAGGTAAATTCAGAAACTATTCGCCTCCGGAAAGGGATGTGACTTGTGGAATAGGATTAATGCGAGAAAAATCGTTTTTCCGAAATAGGATCGTCATCAAACCCCATGTGCCCCGGTGTTTATTTTTAAACCTAATTCACTAATAACTAAAGCAGTTGCTGCCTCAGTGCTGTTTCTACGCCAATGCAACCAATATATAATCACTCACATACGTATTTATAATTTTTAGAATTATTTTCAACTTGTACTATTTTCTCCGAAACACGTGTCATCCTAATTTGAAAAACGACATTAACATACCATTTTTTAAGCCTGGAATAAATAATCGTTATTATTTTCTGTGACGCTCACGCCCCTGTGACTCTCGCTAAATGAATGAAAATAATATTTCTTGAAACTACTTGCACGCCATCTATCGTACGTTGACGGTACTATGACAGAAACTTTGGAGTATCAACAACTGTCCCAAGTTTCTTAACAATCGAATGGTTGTCGGAGCCAAACATTTCAATAGATAAACGCCGAAACCTACTTTGAGACATGAGGTCTGAATCTCAATTCTATTCAAAGACTAATACCGTTCAAACGGAAACAATTTGCGGCAGACACAGGAAATTACACAGCTTTATCAGTAGTTGAAATTTTTTGAGCATTTGACACAGCAATATTTGACTAGTCCTAAAAGAAAATTTGAAGTCGAATGGTTTTATAGGGTCAAAATACGTATTTCTACTAACTAAACTAATGCAAAAAGTCAATAAATAGACTACTGCTACGCTACTACTACACACGACTACTAATAAGCTGAAGGGGAGAATAAACAAATACAAGTATCATAAAATCATTTAATACAAAAATAGTATAACAACCACAAATGGGATCATTGTCATTTTGGTGTCCTACGTCTTGTTCGTTTATTTTGTGCAATCTATAGCGAACTATTTAGGGTGCAGGGGAATCCCTCGTAGGCGAAACGATAAAATTTCATAAAGGCGATCTTTAATTCATGATACGTTATTCTCGCCTATTTCAGCCGTGAAGCAGTAATGTGTTTCGGTTTGAAGGGTGGGGCAGCCGTTGTAACTATCTCAAGGTGCGTGGCGCATTTACGTTGTAGATGTCTATGGGCTCCAGTTACCACTTAACACCAGGTGGGCTGTGAGCTCGTCCACTCATCTAAACAATAAAAAAAATCGTATATCCGCTATTTAAGGCACACAAAACATTTGATTGTACCTAACTAAATAAACGCTATTTATTGCGTAAACTATCTCACGGCCCATCTGGCGTTCTATGCGGAGCCTCATCAGAGCGTGGCTGCTGTCGCCCAACTTGAGACATGAGGTCCAAGCCTCGGTTGTATAACGGCAGAAATTTCGCACTATTCCGTGATGACAACTGGTTGATGGCACACCACCTACCAGTTCAGCTATCAGACCATCATATAGCAGCGAGACCGTGAAATCGTTATGCCCTGAATCCCAAACACTGGTAACATTGTTCTTTTTCTAGAGCGTCTCGAGAGGAATCCCCGCCCCCTCCCCTCCCCCTTTCCCCCACACATCCTTTATTACGAATTTACGAATAATAAGTATAATTTCTTACTTTGATATATTTTGTCTTACATTTAAATCTAATATTTTGTGGTTTACAAAGCGTTTATTATGAGTAAATGACTTTTGTGTTATATAAATTAAAAATCTCTAAGACTGCGTTAAGACGCTGTTTGCAAGGAAATTATTATAACTTTCTCTACAAAACCGTGTGCGACTTACTAGTTGCTATTGCTCCTTATTAAATTAAAAAGTATTTTGTAATGAATACTGGCATGCCTATTTCGGATCGAAACTTTAGCTGCCTACAAAAATTCGCTAGAGGCGCTGTCTGCATTGTTTCATTATCTGTGCGTATTTTTATTTATTATTTTGAGTTTGCATTTTATATTAACAAAATGTACTTTTTAAACAAGAATAAAGCTTACAACATCAACTTAACGTTAACAGTTTGGATTTAATTTATAAAACATTTGACTAACTAGGTATTTTGAATTTAACAATACACAGAGTCGGTGAGTATACCATCATTGCTAAAATCTGTGCGCCGTCCTCAAAGAATTGAATAAATCAATAAGAAGCTACATCAGTACGCAAATAAAAAAATCTTATATAAAAAAACGAGTATATTTTCTCATATGGTAACTTTTTACGAATACTTCCTAAACATTAATCAAATAACCCGAAGGTAATAAAATAAACTGTCTATTCGCACCATGGCTTCATCGTTAGTCTTTTTAATTATATAAAGTAATTCTCAATCATTAATCTGAACTCATAATAAAGTATTTACTTTACGAACGAATAAAAAATTGTACGTAATATTCAGTATTATCTGCAACATTACGTTATTAGGAATCGATAAGTGGTTTGATAGCTACCCTACTTTAACACTTTTACGACGACTCTGTTTTGGTCTAGAAGTGGGAACGTGCGACCACCTTGCGTTATGTGGTCACTGGACAACATACATGTCACAACGAGCGAAGTCTCTATTGTAATAACGACTACGACTTCAGTGTGCTTAGTGCGAGTTTTTTAACGTTCTCGATAGCGTAAAAGTCAACTCAAATTTGTATGGTTTTTTTTTCTTTTTTTTCATTAGATGGGTGGACGAGCTCACAGTCCATCTGGTGTTAAGTGGTTACTGGAGTCCATAGACATCTACAACGTAAATACGCCACCCACCTTGAGATATAAGTTTTAAGGTCTCAGTATAGTTACAACGGCTGCCCCACCCTTCAAACCGAAAAGCATTATTGCTTCACGGCAAAAATAGGCAGGGCGGTGGTACCTACCCGTGCGGACACAGAAGAGGGCCTACCACCAGTAATTACGCAAATTATAGTTTGGCGGGTTTGATTTTTACTACACGATGTTATTCCTTAACCGTGGTGGTCAATCGTGAACATTTATTAAGTACGTATTTCATTAGAAAAATTGATACCCGCCTGCGGGATTCGAACACCGGTGCATCGCTACACACGAATGCACCGGACGTCTTATCCTTTGGGCCACGATGACTTCAGTTGGAACGTTTGCCTACGTTTGCCGCTAGGAGCGCTGTTCCAGCTGCATTCAAATATGAGTAAGCTTTTACGCTATCGTTTACGTTATAAAACTCGCACTAGGCACACTGACTAAGACGTATTGACTGTTGAACTAGGCAGAATGGAGGTGAGTTCCGGTGCGTGACAAGACGTTCCACCGCGTATAAACTACAAGTGAACCTCGGTAGGCACGTTCCCACAAGGCCTCGTGTTGTACGATTATGTGACCAATCTCGAAGTGCGATCACGTAGTTTGTAACTAATTAAGCCATAAAAACATCGTTGCTGCAACTATTCATATTTCATTTGAAATTTTTATACGAAATTACACCTTATCGTATAGTAATCGTAATAGTAAGAATTCATTGGACAAACATACAAAATGCACCGAAATCAAAAAAATCTATAAGAAACCCGCCTCTAAATAAAACCCTGTGCTGTAAATAACGTCTTACACTTAAAATAATCACAGATATGCCCGCTAAATAAATTAATTAAATTTAAATTATATATTATATTTTATATATTTTTTACTAATCACCTTACTACGAATACTAAATAATTAAAACTAAAATGTTTGTTCATTAATTTTCTAGCTTCATCATTATATAGTTAGTCGCGAGGCAGTAACATCCAGTTGATCTGCCTGGCTACTTCTTCGGCAACACCGTCCGCGTGGTGTTGTTTGTCAGATGTCGCCAGTCAATTTCATTTAAAACCATTTGACATTCGGCTTTTGAGTTGTTTTATTTTCGACACACAACAGAGTAGGAGTGGGTGATATATATCGTATATAGATTCAATATCTATATATCGCAGCAATATCGTTGAATCCGATATCACCCCGCACGAAATCTATATATCGATATCAGCCGATACACGATATTGCTCGATGTGATGCGCATCGGCATATCGTACCGATTCGTGAATCGAAATCTATATAACGATATCAGCCGCTACACGATATTGCTCGATGTGATGCGCATCGGCATAACGTACCGATTCGTGAATATCAGCAATATTTGTTTGGTTCGTATCGAATCGGCCAGAGTGAGTGAGCGCACGATAGGGATATCATGTGATGAATGAAACAGAAACAGGCATTATCCATACAATTGTAAACCTTATATTTAAGTCCATATGTCTGTAGATTATTCTTAGCGTATCAGCAGGATACAATTTAGAAAAGAAGTTTCAACTTTCGACCCTAACTTGAATGCAGTATAGCCTATTTGCATCGTTGAATTTAATTTCACGCGCTTTGACCTTGTACTAGAATTTTTGGACAAGTGTTTATAAATACTTAAAAGTTTTTTGTGTTTGATTTTTAAAGTACACATTTTTCTATTTTTAGTTGAATCCAAATAATTGAGTTTATTTCTTGTGTTTGTATTAAACTTTTGAAATCTACACTCTTTTTGTATATTTTGTAATTTTAAATTAAGACACAAAATACTAAAAACTGAAAATAATGTAGCCAGTCCTAAGCCTGGTAAAAGCATGAAGGAAAGTTTTTTTGATATTTTTATTTTCATGTTCTTTTTATTACTTTAAGATCATATTATAAATTGATATCAGAAAACCAACCGTATAACGTTGACTTAAATCTATATCTACTACGATATTATATCAGCGTATCGTTTCAAATCTCAAATATCATGAATCGAGAAAATCTACTAGCATCCATCAATATATAGATTCAGAAAATATATAGATTCAATATCCGATATTGATACTCGATATATAGATACGATTCAATACGCGGCAAAACCGATATTACCCACTCCTACAACAGAGGAATAAAGCAATTGTGGTCGATAATCCTAATTGAAATCGTGAAATCGAATATTTTCAAATAGACTCTCATATCTTTGTTTTTTTAAGGGATTTTATGACCTGGTAACTGAGACCTTTAAGTCATGTCTTATTTTAATTAATATTCATATTTTTATGGAAAATTATATTATGGAGTGAAATTAAATGAAGATGATTAATTTGAGACATTAATCAACTGGGATGAAATTAAATGAAATGAGATGATAAGGGATGAAATATAATCTCAGTAAAATGGTGGTCATTTACTAAGATTTTTTCAGTGGACTTTTTGGAGGATCCCGAGAAGTTGCGTCCAGCGGCTTTGTTTCATTTTCCCACATTTGTGCACTTTCACAGATATTAAACAGTTAATAAACCACCGTTATTACACATTTAAACCTGAAGAAACACTAAATAGACAAAATAAAACAAATCACACAACTTCNTACTAAGATTTTTTCAGTGGACTTTTTGGAGGATCCCGAGAAGTTGCGTCCAGCGGCTTTGTTTCATTTTCCCACATTTGTGCACTTTCACAGATATTAAACAGTTAATAAACCACCGTTATTACACATTTAAACCTGAAGAAACACTAAATAGACAAAATAAAACAAATCACACAACTTCACTCCTCGCGTTCCCGCCAAAAAGTCTCTTTGATTGTTTCTCACAATGTGTTGTTATCTTTTAAATTCCCCATAATTTTAGGGATTTTTTCCCTACAAACTTGCTAATAAATTTCTACTTATTTTCCAAGTTTTTCAATAGAAATCGACAATGACATTATAGCATTGACACGAAAGGCGGTTTGACAGTCGGATCGTGGCTGGCGAACACGTTTAATAACTATAATTGGTAAATCATTTGTTCTTCTCAATCTTAATCGAATATGTGTTGTAATTGTACTAAGCGCGTATTCTTCACAAGCTCTTCAACATTTTCTCTATGAAAGCACCTTGGATTTGATCGGCCCTGAAAATTTTAAAATGCTTTTTTAATTTCACCGGAGCTTTTCTGCACACTATATACGGGTTATATATTATATTTATATACTTCACTGTACTACACACTCACTCCGATGTAAGTCTTCTACGATACAAGCTGCGCTTAAGACAGAGACCATTGAAAGAAATGGTTTTTATTCTCTTTAAAGGGAGACGCGAGACCCATTTGATTGTAAGTGTTCACCGTCGCTCATGGAATAAACATTATTAATATTCTTATTTGTTTGTTGGCTGCTATTTTTAAAACTGGAACGCATTCTTGGTGGTAGTGGGGACTGGGTCAATCGTGAATAAGGATGTCGCGAATGAGCTCCCGGCTCAGGGCTGCCTATAATGACACAGCAGTTTTAAGCGTATGAAAATCACAAACTTACTTAGAGCTGGTGACGGTGTGCATCAGGTTGATGATGTACCGGGGGCAGGCGTCCTCGTGCATGACCCGAGCGTGGAACAACAGCCCCTGACACAAGCAATACAGTATCTCGACCAGAGGCAGGTTCGCCGGCAACATCTCGCGCTGATACGCCCACGACGCCAGGATCTGAAAATAAATTCAATTCGAACGTTCTCGAACATCGATTTGTTTGACGTAATTGTATGATTGCAGCAGTAGAATGATTATAATTATATACGAATTTCGGAAGTTATTTTCGGGAAAGAGTTTTAAACGAATGGCAACCCTGTTAAAAATTTTTTTTTTACATTTTTATTGCTTAGATGCACCTGGTGTTAAATAGTTACTAGAGCACATAGACATTTACAACGTAAATGCGCCACCCACCTTGAGATATAAGTTCTAAGGTCTCAATATAGTTACAACGGCTGCCCCACCCTTCAAATCGAAACGCATTACTGCTTCACGGCAGAAACAGACAGGGTGGTGGTGGTGGTCCCTACCTGTGCGGACTCACAAGATACTACCACCAGTAATTACGCAAATTATAATTTTGCAGGTTTGATTTTTACTACACGATGTTATTCCTTCACCGAGGAAATCAATAGTGAACATTTGTTCAGTACGTATTTCATTAGAAAAATTGGTACCCGCTTGCGGGATTCGAACACCGGTGCATCGCTAGATCCGAATGCACCGGACGTCTTATCCTTTCCTTATCCTTGGCCACAACGACTTTAAAGATTCATTGGCGCGTTGGGTGCTTAGATGGATAATGGATATCCGACCTTGTTCCGTTAATGTTGATGAATACGTACTTGCAGGGAGGACGTGATGGGGGCCAATGCGATCGGCGTGGAGGGAGCCGCCCTGAACGCGGCGCCGGCAAGGAGGCCCGCGGGCAGCGCGTAAGAAGCGCTGTCCCTGCCATTCGCTCGACACAGTGCACAAACCACCAGCTATAAAACAACATAAAAACATAAATTAATCTATACTAGTGGTCCCGCGGTAGTCGAAATTCGACTATAATTATTAATTTAAATTATAACTTTGAACAAGCATTCGCGCACACGCCAACACACGCCCCCGCACACGCCCTCACACACACGCACGCACACGCACGCACACCCACACGCACGCACGCACACAAACACGCACGCACGCACGCATGCACACAAACACGCACGCCCACACGCACACACACACGCACACTCACACACACACACGCACGCACACACACGCACGCACGCACACACACGCACGCACACACGCACGCACGCACAAACACACACGCACGCACGCACGCACGCACACACACATTCACAGACGCACGCATAATGACCTTAAATGATAACACCTAACGATTTCTTAACACTAGTCCGCAGCATCTGTTCACGATTTAACCTAATCTATCTTAAGAAGGATGGAGCCTAGAGATCAGTAATACAGGTCTTTGAACCTAGTACAAACTTCAGCTTTTTCAGAGGCTTGCAAAATAAATTATAAGGTTAATTTCCGTTTGTATTTTTACTATACCTTTAAGAGAGAAATAAATAAATTATTATTAATATTATTATGGTTCTATTGTCAAAGACTTTATTACTTCTTTAATCATAGATTTCGCTAAGGCTACATACACTATAGACAAATAATATTAAAGAAATCAATATTAATCCAGTCTCAATTTGACCACACAGGTTTCTTGGTAACGGACGAGTACGGTGTTATGAAAGTTTAAAATATAATAAAAAAGTGAAATTAAAAGTTAAAATTAGTTTTTATTTTGTCAACAATTTGCGACAACCGAAGAGAATATAGACGCAACTATCAAAACTAGTGGTCCCGTAGTAATCGAAATTCAATTATAATTAATTGAAATTATAAGTTTCAACATTATTAAGATTCTATTGTCAAATTATATAATCACAGATTTCGCCAAGACCACACTTTAGGCAAAAATTAATAAAGACAAACAATATTTAATCTATTCTCAATTTGACCACAGACTTTAAGCAATATGAAAAGTTTGACAATAAAGAAATAGTATGCATGCGTGTGTATGTCAAATACATAGTAGTGTGTAATGTTTTTTTCTGGATTTATTGTATTTTTTATACATATTTTTTTTAAAACATGAGCATTTTGCATTTCTTCTCTATATTCTCTATAAGTATGGGAAATTTCATACTCCTCCGTCCGCGCAATTTTCGTAAAAAGGGATACAATATTTTTGCTTCACGTATTAATATATAGATTAACTTACCCTATATATTCCTATGTAGCCTCCGAAGAAAATTCCGAGTCTCAAATGGGCCAGTCTCAGCGACTTCAACGCTTTCATCGGAGTCAGGATTTTAGGTATTACTGCACGGAGCATGGTCATCGCGCAACCCACGCCGAAAAGTTTTAAAGTACCCTACAATACAAAAAAAAACTACTTTAAGCATAACGAAGAAACATCATACCGGATATACGCAATGAAAATGTACCTTTTGAAAATATGCTTTATTTTATAAGCAACAGAGGAAACATTAAAATAAATCAATATTTGAAAACGATAATCGGTAAAACTTGACAGAAAATACCAAGGTAGCGACTGGGACCATTTTGAGAAGTTAACATATATGTTGCTCGCTCACTAAGGGTCGATTCGTCCAAACAAGAGTAAATCTTATTCCTAGAATAACTCGTCAGTTAATCGAGAGTAAATCAATTTTACGTTTTACCATCTACAATTCTAAGAATAGTGGGCCTATTCGGGAATTGTTACTATACCGCCGTTTCGCACGGAATAACGGAGCTATTCCTAGAATAATGTAATAGCGTCAGTCAGTCCAATCATCTGATTTCTGTCATTTCATAAATATTTATTCTGTTTTAATTTCATGTCAACGCAATGCACTAAGTCATTATTAATACATAGGCGGCACTGAAAATTTCGGGAATTAACGAAGTGACACAACATTGCTTTTCGAAGTATTCTCCGCGAAATTTGACACATTTTTCCATACGATGGAACCAATCATTGAAGCAACCATTCCATTCGGAAGTTGGGGTCTCCAAAATGGCCGTTTTGTGGGCGTCCACAGCTTCTTCGGGTGATGAAAATCTCTGTCCACGCAATTTATTCTTTATTTTAGGGAAAGTATATAAATCATTAGGGCTTAGGTCGGGGCTGTACGGCCGATGGTCTAATAATTCTATGTTTTCTTGCTCTAAAAACTCTTTTGTTCTGTGCGCGGTGTGAGAACTCGCATTGTCGTGATGGAGGATGATGCGGCGGTTGCAGTTCTCTTTACGGAGTTCAGAAACGACCTGTGGCAAACAAATGTTAGCATACCATTCTGCATTAACCGTTCTTTGTCCCTCAAGAGGAATAGTCGTAACATGGCCGGTTTTGGAGACAAACGTGGCCACCATTTTTTTTGCAACACTCCGTGAACGAACAATTTTTGTTGGCTTTAACTCATTTTCGAACACCCAAACTCGTGACTGGTTTTTTGTTTCGGGTTCGTACGCGTATATCCAGGATTCGTCACCTGATACAATGTTGTATACAGCATTTGAGGATCCTGCGTGGAATCTTTCGAGAGTTCTGACGCACCAAGTAACGCGAGCCGCTTTTTGCTCTTCACAGAGCGAATGCGGTATCCATCGGGAAAACAACTTTTTTACACCTAATTGTTCATGCAAGATTATTTGTATTTGACTCATGCCAATGTCTAAAGTTGCCTGAATTTCGCGGTATGTCACATGTCGATCTTCCTCAATCAGCTTACGCACAGCATCAACGTTTTCTTGGGTGACTGCAGTTTTTGGACGACCTTGACGGGGATCATCACTGAGCTTGACACGTCCACGTTGAAACTCAGCAAACCAGCGATAAATTGTGGTTTTGGATGGGGCTTCATCACCAAATGCAGAAATCATCCGGTCAACACACTGTTTTTGTGTTAAACCACTTCGAAAGTCATAATAAATCATCGCTCTTGAATTTTCTCGAGTCAATTCCATTTTCTCAACGACTAAACAAGTTTGACAAAACCTTGTGACAAGACCGAGAATCTTTTTTTAAATAAATAAATGGTATTCGATTTTTAAAACCAAGGAGTTTTCAATTAAAAAGATTTTAATATGACAGGAGCAGTGGAAATATTCCATTCCCGATACTTTTAGTGCAGCCCTCGTAGTTTGGCATTGTATAATACAAAATTTAAACGAAAAAAGATAAAACCACACGACAAAACTTGACAATTCCCTCAAACAAACAAGAAATAAAATTAAAACGTTTGACAGCTAGATATCTTTCACTACAGCTACTTTTTCACACCAAAATACGGCAAAATCGTGTTGACGCTTTGTATGCTCTTACACTATGCCGTTGTACAACAACATTTATATGCCGGATTTTATTTTCGTTCACCATTCACTCTGCTATTCGCGTATTGTTATTCCCAGCGTAAGTATACTATTGTTTACATGGAAAAACGGCTATGGATTTACTCGAGATTAAAATCATGGAATAGGTTATTCCTCGTATAGTTACTCGTGTATAAATTTAAGTTTGGTCGAATCCACCCTAAGCACGCTATCCACCAGAAAACAGGTCACGTAAATAAGTATGGACCGGACTGCGCTTGATAATTCCTTTCGGTCACAAATTCTCGCCGACACGATATAACCAGTTTTAGTTTTTTTTTATTGCTTAGATGGGTGGACGAGTTCACAGCCCACCTGGTATTAAGTGGTTACTGGAGCCCATAGACAGCTATAACGTAAATGCGCCACCCACCTTGAGATATAAGTTCTAAGGTCGCAAGTATAGTTACAACGGCTGCCCCAACCTTCAAACCGAAACGCATTACTGCTTTACGGCAGAAATAAGCAGGCAAATTAGTTGGGAGAAAGTGCTAACGGATAGGTAGGCGAATAGCAATCTCTCATTATTTTGCACAATGCACGATTTATTTACTTACTGAATACGGAATACCTTTAATATATAATTCAGACAAGGACCCCGGTGCGGACAGGCAGGGCTTCGGCCTTCCACGCCACCGACTGGCTCCCCAGTTTCCTTGGAAACACGTGGTGGTGTGAAAAACCTGCAAATACCAAGATAATGTGCTAACTTTAACCAACTATGCTAGATTTGTTACCGGAGTTTATAGATATTACAACGCCCCATCTAGAGGACCATCGTCACCATCTGATGATGGCCAGTTTTTTTTTTATTGGTTAAATGTACGGACGATCTCACAACCCACCTGGTGTTGAGTGGTTACTTGTCCCGTAGACATCTACAACGTAAATGCCGCCACCCACCCTGAGATATAAGTTCTAAGGTCTAAGGTATAGTTTCTAAGGCATAGTTACAACGACTGCCCCATCCTTCAAACCAAAACGCATTACTGCTTCACGGCAGAAATAGGCAGGGTGGTGGTACCTACCCGTGCGGACTCACAAGAGGTCTTACCAAATAGTAATGACGCAAATTATAATTTTACAGGTTTAATGTTTATTACACGATGTTATTCCTTCACCTTCAATCGTGAAGATTTCTTAGGTACGTATTTCATTAGAAAAATACCCGCCTGCGGGATTCGAACACCGGTGCATCGCTAGATACAAAAGGCACCGGACGCCTTATCTTTTCATTGCTGTACATAGCCCTCTCCTAACCTACACCACTGAGACAGGTCCTCACCTTTCCTTATCCTTTATCCTTTTCTTCTTCATCCTGTCTATATCTGCCACGAAGCAATCATGCGTTTCGGTTTGAAATGTTCGACTGTTGCTATTACAATTGAGATTCCGAACTCATACGCCAAGGTAAATAAATGGGTACAAAAACGAATATTTAGTACCAAATTCAATCAATAACTTACAGTAAAAAAAATCCAAAGTCAAAGATCATTTTAGTGACATTAATATTCAACGTATTAATGAATATACTTTAAGACTTGTTAATTTAGCAGTTGCCGCTACTATTTTGCATCCAAAACAATCTTATACTATCGGTAATAGATATACAATATATACAAGCAAATCTGCATCCCCTATAGATTTCGAAGCGGCTGAACCGATTTCGAAGAAGTTTTCATGTAAGTTTCAAGCTGGCCTGGTTTGATAGCGATTTGGATCAAAGTCAAATCAAAGATCGACGAGCCAAGCGGATTGGGTTTGACTAGTTTTACATAACTATAAGCTGAACTCGTTCCTGTTACGTGTCGGTGATGTTTACAACAGATTTGGCAAACTATTACCCCATTATATTGACCCATTTAATTATTCTATTACAAGGATGAGACGTCAAATTAGCGCCAGATTCTTTGTAGGTAGGAACAACGGACACAAGGCCCGGTGGCGTTGATTTGCCACCAAATTCAGATCCTATTAATTTATCACATTTATATGAAAATGGGTACATTTAGTTTGGTTTAGTTCTTCTTTTAGTTTTATTAGTTCTTCCTTTATTTTATTTTCGTTTTTCTTACGATATAACTTGTTTTTATAGGTTTCGGATCTTTAATTGGTTTTTATTTGGTATCTTATTATGTTAATATAAGCTGTCTTTGAAATAAATAAATATACAAATGTTTAAATGCATGTGTCGAATTCATAATGTAATTTAAGTTTAAGAAGAATTTTTCGACTCACCAGAATAGAGGTGTTTGTTTGCCGCTCTCTCTGTCTCTCCGCATCAAATAGAAAAAGACGGCACTGCCCAGCATGAAGATCAAGGTCTCCTTACGGGGCGAACGCCGGAGCCATCCTTTCATTTCCAAAGTTCGAACCCAATATTCAAACACCTGGAATTACAATGACCTATAATAACCCTGTACTGGAACCGAAAATCAAAATAGGTGATAGTCATTTTTTTAGATCTTCCTTATTGAAAGAGGTCCTTATTACGATTTTACTACACTATGAATGAATTCCCGGTAATTGATACTACTGCTAACACTACTACAACACTTGAATCACGTGAATAACACAATTTGTAATACTATTAAGAATCAGTCGACGGGTGTGATCAAGTCTCAAGGGAGGACTTTTGTCCATCTATTGGAGCTGTGAAAGAGATCACCTTCAGATCTTCCTCAAGATCGTCGGTCCACCATACCTACCCAGGCCTACCGACGCTAAGTCTTCCGGTACGTGATTGCCCTTCGAGAACTGATCAGCCCCGGCGATTATCTGTTCCACGCAATGTACCCCGCCCACTACCACTTCAACGTCACAATATTTTGGACTAAGACGATTACCATCGTTTTCCTACGATTCTCTTAGGAGAATCGGACTCTCCGTGCGAGATCAAATCAGGTATTATTAGTACCTGATTTGATCTCACAGAGAGAGGACAGGAATGTAGGAGTCCGAGCAAATTACTGTCTATTGCTCTTTGGGTGACTTTGAGGCTTCTGATCGGACACATTATGAGCGAACACTTTATTTTCTATTACGTCAATCTCCTATATTACGTGCTGAATATATTTAAATGTGCTTGTAATTAATTTGGTTTACGAAGTAGGAGATACGACCGTATCCTTCAACACGGATTTAGAGTTAGAAAAAAATGGTAACCTTGCTGTCCGATCACCAAAAAAATTAAGCCAAAAAGTCACAAGTACGCATGTTTTTATTCAAGAGAGCCCTGTTTTTTGTTACGATCAATATTGTTTACTTCGATTTTCACGAAAAGTAAGGCTGATTGAAAACATCTTAAAGATTTAATCTCGTGTTTACTTTCACGGAAAACTAAATGTACGTTCCGATTTCATTTAGGAATCAGACAAATTTTTATTTTTATTTTTAATACGTATCTTTGTTCCTAAATTCCCAGTATCCTCGAGGGGCTATTCTGGTTTTGCCGGAGTGCTAGGCCAGCTTTCGGGGCTCAACCTGAAAGATTTTGCCTAGGTCTGTCTATCACCGGATCGGAATCGCGACGAACTTTGTCTGTGGGAATATCTATCAAGTACCCACGACAACACACATTATTTTAACTCTAATATCCTGACCGGCATGAACATCAAATCTCTTTAATTAATTTTGAAACTTTATTAGTAGATTTTGATAATCTATATATATAAAAATGAATTGCTGTTCGTTAGTCTCGCTAAAACTCGAGAACGGCTGGACCGATTTGACTAATTTTGGTCTTGAATTATTTGTGGAAGTCCAGCGAAGGTTTAATAGGTAGATAAATATGAAAATTCTCGGAAATGAAAATAATTTTTTTTTTCCTTTGATGTGTCCCCCGTCGGACGTATTCCTTTTGTTTGTTTTAGGTTTATTTTATACAAAACTAGGTCTTTTATATATCGATTGAGGTACTACGAAGTCTGCCGGATCAGCTAGTTATTTTAATATAAAATTAATCTGTTTAATTGCGGCCTACAATTACTTTTAATGAATATGATGTCAGACATTTGCCTTAACGTTAACGTGTTTTTGTATTATTTATATACATATTTACATATATTATGTGTAAGTGGTAAGAATGTCTGGCTGAATACGTATGAATATGTGTTTGGAAAAATATTTTTATATTTGATCAATATATGTATTGTAACAACTCTAAGTACACCGAAAATCATTGTTTATCTCGATTCTTATTCTTCTGACGGGTCTCTGGAAGCGATTGCATTAATTGAAAAAACGGCCTATTGCATTTTTATGTATAGCATATTTTGCCGTCAAATTTTAGTGTATAATCAAACATATCATACTAGAAATAGATTCATAAATGTTATGTCTCATAACATTTCTTTAGGCTCCAGTGGCCACTTAAGAACATAGAAGCTGTTAGCTCGCCTAGTTGGCTTAACTTTTATTTTCTACATATGCTAATATCAGCGTTGCCCTAACGTGTAGGTGAGCTCTCGGGGCTCATCCCCACGACGTTGCTAACACTAACCCTGCCAAGAGCAGTTCTTCACAGAACTCGTCGTGGCCTAAAGGATAAGACGTCCGGTACATTCGTATCTAGCAATACACCGGTGTTCGAAACGCGCAGGCGGGTACCATTTTTTCTAATGAAATACGTACTTAACAAATGTTCCACGATTGACTTCCACGGTGAAGGAATAACATCGTGTAATAACATTCAAACCCGTAAAATTATAATTTGCGTAATTACTAGTGGTAGGACCTCTTGTAAGTCTGCACGGGTAGGTACCACCACCCACCCACCCTGTCTATTTCTGCCGTGAAGCAGTAATGCGTTTCGGTTTGAAGGGTGGTGCAGCCGTTGTAACTATACTTGAGACTTTAGAACTTATATCAAAAGGTGGATGGCGCATTTACGTTATAGATGTTTATGGGCTCCAGTGACCACTTAACCCCAGGTTGGCTGTGAGCTCGTGCAACCATCTAAGCAATAAAAAAAAGAAAAATATTTTGTATAACATTAGATTGTTCAAAAAAAGGCACCGCTGGTAATTATACTCACCAAATTCACAAAGAGATTGACCACCAATACTCTTCGATGGGGCGGCTCGAAATACACGGCCAGTCCGCTCACGGTACATGGCAATAACACAGTCGTGTAGTACGAGAACTCGCTGAAGAAAAGCTTCCTGTTGACGAAAATGACAATAACATTACAAAGAAATTAATCCTTTTTAATTTCAAGTTATTTTGGAAACCCCTCTCCCCAAGCCCGGCAAGTGGAAGTCGAGAGACGGAAGTAACTATGAAGTAGTATCAAGATGGGTAGTCAGACAGGGATTTTTTCACTAAACAAGTTGCTTAGCCCTCCCTGCTGGTTTATTGCGGAACCATTGGCATCAAAAAGTGAAGACATGTCGGTATGGCTATCCCGAAACGCATTACTGTATCGCAGCATGAAATCTTTGCAAGGATATATGACCTCGGTAGCCTCTACATTCTACGTCTGCTTTCTTATGTTATAGAAACAGTGTTAAATATTATAAAAAAAAAAATTGACATCCATTTAATCATCAATCTGATTTCGTTAGTAATATCACAAACCAGACTCCAAAGAGATATAGGTAACAATAAGAAACTCATTGGTATTATTGGGAATTCAGTCAGAGATACAATGTTTTCAGAACTAACACGTACGATTTGAACGACTGAATTATTGCCTTATTAAAATGTTATGGCGTACGAATAGACACGACGCGGTTTTTTACAGTGTGTTGATTTAGTTAAGTACAGAAAAATAATTACCAATTACCTGAATATACAGTTGAGGGTCACAAACGAACTGCCTACGGTGAGTCCAAATATTCCAGACTTCAAATACAACTTGAATTGCTCTATAATTTCTTTCTTGCCAAGTTTCTTCCCTCGCATTAGAATTTGAAGCTTAAAGAAAAAATACAGGGGTAATTTTCAAAAATTTACATGACCCGTTAAATAGTTCGCAAGTTCGAGATTGAGCATGTCGTCAGACGCTAACCACAGGTCTTTGGGGCCATACCAGTGAAAATGGAACAGCACTAAAATCTCATTGAAGCTCGTAACCCAAGAGTCGGCTCACCGTCAGGGTAAAATGCTAACAGGGCAAGGGATTAACATACTGTGGAACCGTTTAAGCATTGCACTTTGATGTCGTAATGGCCTAAAAGTTAAGGCATTTAATATAGAAACTTAGACCCATGTCTTAAGGTTGCATTTACATTGTTGATGTGTATGGGCTCTGGTAACCACTAAACACCGAGTGGGCCGTGAGCTCATCCAGCAATATTTTCTTCTTCCTAGCATTGTACCAGTCTAATGCCAAGGGCCGGTTTCCTACTTTGTTTTTTAACGGACCGATGAGCTCATTCACACGTCTATATCTATACATATAATAAAATTAGTGTCTGTTTTTAGTATTGAAATAACCGGTTTTTACTACATGCATAATATGATACGGTACATACACCAAAATAACATTTTTTACAATTTTGTCTGTCTGTCTGTTTGTTCCAGCTAATCTCTGGAACGGCTGGACCGATTTTGACGAGACTTTCACTGATAGGTAACTGATGATATAAGGAGTAACTTAGGCTATTTTTTTAAGACTAGCTTCTCCCCGCGGCGTCATCCGCGGTACGACAATAACCGCGGGTATCATCGCGGGACTCAGCTATTCATCAATAATAAAATTAAATGTTTCCAAAACGAAGCGAGGGCGGGTCGCTAGTAATAAATAAAAATAAACACAGCGAGACAACAAATCAGCGAACGTTATCTCGCTATTCTTAGTATTCTTATTATGCCATGCTTATTATTCCAGAAGTACAATGTTAACTTTCACAATGCTTCTCAATCCGCACGTATATCGATACGATTCTCAATTATGAAAGCTTAAAATGCCGTAACACCTCAGTTACTAATTTGGGGCATAGAAAGTTTCTTTTTCCTCAACATCTCAGACATTATTAAAATTCTATTAGTTCTTAGTGTCGTAAGATACGCACAGTAAAATTAATCCGAAATAACTTGCGTATTGGCATTATTTCATAGTTAAGTAGTACTATATAAAATATTTAACAATAATTTTTTGTGAAAAATCACTGAATATTGTTTTTATTACATACAGATATAGCAACAAGTTAAGGTTAATAATACTAATGGAATAAAAAAAACCAGATACATTTTGCTTGAAATCCTTATATAAAAAAAAAAAATCCAAATAGGAGAAGAATAAAAAAAAAGAATAAAGCAGTTCTGTGAACTGTGACTATTTACAATATGGGTAATTTATATAATTATGTGCTACATAAATCAATATGTGATGAGACTTCAAGATATAAATGATAGAAGAGAAATCACACACAACCAGTTGGCCCCAAATCAGCATTGATATTGATATTTGAAGTCGTCGTGGCCTAACGGATAAGACGTCCGGTGCATTCGTGTTGAGCGATGCACCGGTGTTCGAATCCCGCAGGCGGGTACCAATTTTTCTAATGAAATACGTACTCAACGAATGTTCACGATTGATTTCCACGGTGAAGGAATAACATCGTGTCATAAAAATGAAACCCGCAAAATTATAATTTGCGTAATTACTGGTGGTGGACCTCTTGTGAGTCCACGCGGGTGGGTACCACCACCCTGCCTATTTTTGCCGTGAAACAGTAATGCGTTTCGGTTTGAAGGGTGGGGCAGCCGTTGTAACTAACTTGAGACCTTAGAACTTATATCTCAAGGTGGGTGGCGCATTTACGTTATTGATGTCTATGGGCTCCAGTAACCATTTAACACCAGGTGGGCTGTGAGCTCGTCCACCCATCTAAGCAATAAAAAAAAAATATTATACTTATTTTTATCATTTTTATAAATAGATATTAAAAACCCAGAAAAGGATCTAATAAGCCAGTTCGTCACACAAACAATTGCTCAAAGTATCGAACTGAACCAATGAACTGCAGCCCAACATTTAGGAGAGCTAACTACTGCCGCAGATTCTTTTTTTTTTTGCTTACATGGACGAGATCATTAATTAATTATGTGTCTGTCATTAATTAAGTAATTATTTAGTGAAGATTTATTTTTGTCTCTGAAAGAAAAGACATATGTATTGACTGTAAAAATTCTCACAAAATGGTTTTCATTCATATGGCATAAAATTAAAAAAATTAACAAATTTCTGTTTCACATTTTTTAAGCTAATAGCTCGATAACTGAAACTAAAAGGTTAAAGTACAAGAATAAGTCAAGGATGTGTTGTAATATATATCAAAATATTGAATACTATGTGTGATGATTAAGATATCGAATTGATAATCCAGGTCATATCAATCTAATTAAGATAAGCCCACTCTTCCTTTTTGTTATTCCAATAATATTTATATAAATTTTTCTAATTTCAATGTTTTAAAAGATATTTTAAGTTTGTAATGAAGAGTAATTTAAAGTAAGATGTTGTCTGTGGTCAAAATATGTAGGCAGTAAAGTGACTGTCTCTACTATTGCTATTGTTAATAAAAGATTATAAAAGGAGCCTCATAAAAAAAGACATTGACATTAACAATTATTCATAGCAATTCAATTCTTGTTTGATTTTGCTTCAATTGCTACACTTATCAAATGTAAATGACAGACTTATTGAACATATACATATATATATTCCCACAATATTTATGACTGATTATGAGAATGACTTCTAGGTGGGAGGTTTTATTAGGTTTGTTTAAATTTTAGTAGAATATTTACCTGGCTTTAAATTAGAATTCCATATACCATGGTACCCAGAGACTGATTTAAATACTTATATAACATGTTTTATATTTATATGTATAAAAATATCCATACAAAATATATTAAACTAATGTCTTAAGGAAACTACAAGATCGAACTCATAATGCACCAATTAGAGATGCTAGCTGATGCAAGTGAGACTAAGTCAATAAAGTCAATAAAGTCAAATCAAAAAATTATGAAATAATTATTAATAAAACATAAATTCCATGACGAATAATAAAATGTCAAGTGTTTAGTGATGGGGTCAGTGAAGATAATTTAGAGTCATGTGAATTTTAAAAGCACTTTAATGAATCTGATGTATTATTTTAAAAGTACTTCAATGAATCTAATGTATTACTTAATGTTGGTGTTTTTCGCCTTTCAAATGAGATTACCAAAGACGTTCAATTTTTACCTACCAATAAATTTTATGCTAGCAAAGAAACATTTGTACAAGAAAATGTGATGACTATTACAATGTGATGACTATTTATGTGATAGCACTAAATATTGTAAATAAAGCCATTTAATTTTATTTACTACAAGCTTTCTGCCTGCATCATATTCACAATACTATACATCTCTAAGAGACTCTTACTCAGGAGTGAGATGAAAGTAGCTTAAAATGTAGCATTAAAAGTAGCTGTAATTGGTTCAGTTGTTCTGTCATAAAAACTTAACAGAGATAGTTACTTCCATGTTTACAGTATTAAATATGAATTGTAATTATAATATGCATTGTTTTTGTTGTTTAACCTTTTAAGAAAGAAAATTAAAAGCAATCATGCATAGATATTACACTTACACTTAATATGCAATCATGTAAAAAAAACATGCCTAATTCAATAGCCCTAGCTAGTTCGTCTCAGAAATATAACTCTTTTCCGAACCAGTACAGTTTTTCAATAATTGTGTCAACATTGAAGTTTATATTTATTAGCTGTATTAGCTATGCCTCCTGTACATTGTACTTTGGAATTATCAATAGAGATTTTGAGATTAAATACTTACAACATAAACCATGGCGTAAAACTTATAACTTCCTTTTATACAGCTGATAAGCATTGACGAAGTCGCATCCGTACATTTGTAGGTCCATGGATGTATAAGATTGTGACACTCGGAAGCACTACACGCCTTTTCGAACCACAACTTACTTGCTTCCACCATTTTTTAATTTATATTTTTAAAGGAAATTTCTCAATGTTTTTTAATACGATACGAATATGATACTGAATACGTTATACGAATTCAACAAAGGGATTTTGATTAAAACTATAGATAAGCTAAAATTCTCTAGGTGTCATTTTATCAAATGATACTGTACAACAGAAGATTAATTTAAGGTAAGATAATGTCCTTATAAACAAAAAAATTGACACGAAAATATTGGCTTAAACACATGTTATTGCTAGTGAATTAACTGTCAATCTAATGTAATTAAAATTCAATTCGATTATGTAGGTATGTTGGACGGATAGACAGTGTGTCAAATGTCATTGTGATTAACTCGACATGGACAATTTAAAAAAAATGCGACCTTTATTATGTACTGTCCTAACGATTTCATTAGATATGAACACGTTGAAAAATAGCAGTCAATGCTCCTGTTGTACCAGATTATTTTGTAATACATTATACTTACATCCATAGCTTTTCAATAGAATAAATCATTCGATCCGTGAAAGTCGTATTCATCTACGTCTCTTTTTTATTCATTTATTGTTTTTTTTTGCCTATGCTGATAGCCTTGAGAGGCTATTTCAGCTTCTCGCTGACGTGTAGGTGAGCTCAAGGGGCTTAAACCAGAGTGTTGCTAACACTGGCCTTAGCAAGACGGTGCTTCGCAGAATCTACCACCGGATCGGAAAAAGCGACCCACTGAGAAGATCCGGCGAGAAACTCAATGGGCTGTGTCTATGGGTTAAATTACTCGTCGAGCCCTTAGTCGCAAGCGACGGATTCGGCGAAAACGGTGACTGATGCTTGAGGTACCTACCTAAAAGCACCGTCAATTGATCGGGAGGATCCGTAATGATGTGTATTCTCTTAACTTATCATAACTCCAATTTATACTTTCTGGCTTATCTCAAACCTACATTTATTTTGGTTAATTCGTTCAAATTAGAATATTAACATTTCTCAAGAGAATGCTATAGAATTATGAACACTTACGAAAGACATTGTATATATAATCCCGAAAAATTTTGCTGCCCCTTTTCCACATGCCAGTGACATTCCCCAAAAAGCTTTGAAACAGCTGTCAGTCCACGGATGAATAGCTTTCGAGCATGAAAGAAAAACCAAATCAGAATTGTCAAGAAAATGTTTGCTGATTTCCACCATTTTCACAAATTTTTACTGCAATTGTTAAAGTTAGGCAATATTCATTTCAGTATTAATCAAACCACAGAAGCAAAGTGAGTAGTCTTAAACTTAAACAATAGCTACCACCAACCACCCAGCCACAAAATTTAAATATTCAAAATACAGATTGTAAGCATTATTGTATGCAAATTTATATAGGTAGGTGGAAAACAACAAACTTCGCTGAGAAATTTAGAGAACGTTGTTTATATTATTGTTTTACACTTGAAAGTAATTTAGGTATATATGTTGTCGGCAATCTGTATAATACGGTATTCTATACAATACCTAACCAGTGTATCTTCTTCTTCTCAGTCGGACACTCTTGTCAGAGTGGTCGTGATTGCGCTGATGCTGTATGTGCAGGAGGACCTGTAAGGTCGCCCATGCTCCCGACGACCGCCCTCTTCTGCCTTCCACCCAGCCCTTTATCACCAGTCTCTCCATTGAATGCCAGTAGGCAATGTATAGAATACCTAAAACGTTAAGGTAATGTATGAAATATTTTTCATTTTATACTTTCCCTAGGCATTCTATACAATACCGAATGCGCTGCCGGCAGTGTGTGTAAAAGACGATAGCAGAGAAGGGGGAGTGCTCAAAATCTCACATATTTTTTTACTTACTGTATTCTGAGAAGCCAGTAGATCTACATCTTGTTTTTACAGAATTGTTTTGTTGTCTAAGCTTTTTAACTGATTACTTATGAGCAAATTAGATTATGTTAGTTAACCCAGAAGAATTTGAAGTTCAATGTTATTTGATTGTGATTTTACTATAAATACCTAACTTTGAAAAAATATTGTTTTTAATCAGAACTAACTACTTACTAATTGGAAATTTTAATAAAGTTGATTTTAAGCAAATCTAATGTGCTATTTTTCCGTCGTTTTATACCCTTCTACTTACTGGCTTACATAACATTGATAAATACAGGCCCAAATATAGTTATTTCACACATTGCCGGTGGACTGGCAGGTCTATACAATCTTAGGAATTGTATACATTACTTACGTAAAGTATACACGAAAAAGGGTTTTTTTAATTTGTTATCGCATGTTTAATACGTTAATCATGAGTTGACGAGTACGGTTACCGGGTTCCCTACTCCTAGTGTTAGAGCAAAAGGTGTCTAATGCAAGAGTTATTGGATCTGATGGATCCGTAAGAACGTGTCTAGGGCGTCGACGGCGACTGGCTCCGGTGTGATCAGGATTCAGGAAGAAGTCAGCGGTGGCAATGATAAGGCGATTATCATGACGCATAGCCTTATCGAACTATCGTTCCGACGCTGACTTCGTCTGTTTCCAGATTGATTCGAGGCCCAGGTCGTCGTGTAGATCAATGTTCCTCACGAACCACCGAGCTCCGATGGCTAGCCTGCAAAGGCGGGATTGTAGGGATTGGAGGGTGTTTGTGTGTGCGAGCCGCGTGAGCGACCGAGCGGTGATTCTACGACAGTACCATTCCATTTCTTACCGACGAAAAAATTTACCGATGTATAAAAATTAACATTCTCCGAGCATTTAATCTTCATACAGTGATTATCAATCAGCATTTACTACATTCCTTTATATTACACACTGCTACTATATGCAACGTTCCTTTGCAATACTTATACTTTTATACTACTACAGGTTATAGAAACACGTATAAAAAAGTGCATCTTATCATATCCGTTACCCGGCAGGCAGAAATAGAGCGGAGCAAACAAGGCAATTTGCAGTGAAATTTTTGTCACTTAGTTTTGTATTATTTAGTAATGTTATATATCGGTAGGCAGCGGCTTGCCTGCGTTCCTGGTATTGCTAATGTTCAGGGGTGACAGTAAGCACTTACTGATGGATGGTATGCTAGTATGACTACCGCGGAAATTAAAAAAAGCCAACATAAAATCCGTACACGGCGTGAATAACTTGACAAGTCGACTAATATCAAATTTTAAGTTATAGCAGAATTGTCGTCCAGATTACTTGTTTTATATGGGGAATAAATGAGTAACTCGATTCTCTCACGTATTTTTGGGATATCGCACTTGTGAATTACTAAACAACTTTGTTTCCAACGAGAACATGATGACATTTAGATATATCTAAACACATTAATGTTATTTATTTAAATAACTCAACACGTTAAGTTATTTACGCCACATAATTAAATGAACTAACAGAATATCTTTAGATGATCAATTATTCACATAGCCCATAATTGTGTTCGCGACTATACATATCTTGTTGTCAAGTTATTAAAGGCTTGAAAAAGCATAATAATATTCAGAAAAAAGAAAGGATAAAGATGAAGCAAAGTGCAACTCATCCATTCGAACATATACATATGATCTTCAGCAGTGCTTACCCACCCCCTATCTTAAAACTTCTGTTTCTTTTTATAAAAGACCGCTATGGTCCTACAATCTCACAATCCATGATTTAGTAACTAATAAGGCTACATGTTACATGTAGGACGAAACCATCGGTGCTCGTCAAATCGCGTCGTGTCTGTGGCATTTTCTTCAGAATTTGCCTTCAAAAGATAAACAGGTCACATTTTATTCAGATACATGTGGAGGCCAAAACAAAAATAATACGGGTGCAATGATGTTCATGTATTTACTTCATGTGTATCCAACGCTAGAAACTATTAATCACAAGTTTCTTGGATTGTGATTCACATGGAGTGTGATTCGGATCATGCCTTGATTGAGAGAACCAAAGAGAAAACGCGACTTAAAATTAACTACCTATTTTAATGACTGGGTGTAACTTATAAGATCTTGTAAGATTAATAACGCATATGCCGTTGTATCAATTAAGCGCGAAAATTTTCTAAATTAAGTTCAAAAAAAGAGCCATACACGATTTAAAAAAAAGACAGTTCCGAAGATAAATTCTTGTGGCAAACTATAAAATGGCTGCAATACAAAAAATCTATTGGAGAAATACGAGAATTCAAGATAGATTTGACAGTGAAAGCTCTTTTAAGGTAATCAACTTTCAGAAAAGGAGCAAATATAATATAGACAACGTCCAGATAGAAGTTGTCTCTAAAGACATCTTGCCAATAAGTAGAGAAAAGAGAAGAATTTGGTGGATTTATTACGTTTAATAGACACAGCATTTCACGATTTTTATAAAAACATAAAGACAGACAACCCACCAAAAAATGCCACAACTTAGATACTGAGGACCCTGATTTAGAGAGAAATGGAGAAGAACAGTAAAGAATAATAGAATAGTAATTCCAGAAGCAGAATAATTTAAGTTTCTTTTAATTAATAAAAAATATAATTAAGTACAAGTTTTGGGTTTTAGTTTGAGATTGATCAATTCAAGTGGCTTATTATTACATCATCATTCTCCTTCCCTTCTCCCAGTCACCTGGGGTCGGCGCAACTTGTTTTCTTCTTCCATACTCCTCTATCATATAGCATTTCTTCGCTCACTCCCCTCTTACACATATTGTCTTTCACGCAATCCATCCATTTCATCTTAGGTCTACCTCTTCCTCTATATCCTTCCACATTTATAGTTAACACTCTCTTACCAACCTCATTTTCATTTCGCCTCAGCACACTTTTTTTATTTTTTTTATTGCTTAGATGGGTGGACGAGCTCACAGCCCACCTGGTGTTAAGTGGTTACTGGAGCCCATAGAAACCTACATCGTAAATGCGCCACCCACCTTGAGATATAAGTTCTAAGGTCTCACATGTCCATACCATCCCATCACATCCCATTCCATCTCACCATCCAACCACCATCAAATGGCTATTACATATTTATGTATATTTTTTAAATCTATGTTATCAATTTTATTACTTTTCTCGGATTTTAATAAATTGCTTAGGTGAATAAATCACTGAAGTAGGAAACCTTCGATCAACAATAGTAACTGATCGAAGTAGGAAACCTATGGAAATGAAACGTCAACAAAAAATTCGTGCCACTGTGACGTCATCTGGCCACAAAACATGGCGGCTTTAGTGCTGCCCAGAAGATTTTAATGTTAGTAGGTTTTATCGATAAACGTTCTTGGCTTATTTTATTTTAAATATTGTTGAGTATGAATGTATTTGTAGAATTTATACTTTAATAGGAAGTAAGTATATTGTTATGTGCAAAGATGATGTGATTTAGATATTATGTGAAATCTAAGACGAGTTCGTGCTTCAAATTTGCCAAGTAAACGATATGACGATTTTTAAAATTTGCTACACTGATTTTATAAAGTTGTCGTTTGCCGCAAAACATAAAGATATGGCGTAGTACAGTGCCATCTGCCCATTTCTAGCATGCTGAATGTTATCGTATTTTGAGTACGTGTTTTTCTTAGACTATTACAATCTATTTTAATTGTTTTGCTGACTCTAAAGTCCGTAACACACTACCGCAGCGCACCTCAAGGAAGGTACGCCGCACCATTTGAATCACTCTCACTTGAGAGTGATTCAAATTTTAAACTTATCAAGGGACCGCCTGATAAAAAAAAACACCTACAGAACATTTATTCGTTAATAAAATTACAAACGTCATTCCTTGTGACTTCCTCTCTAAAATCACTTAATTATTAAATATTTAACGAGTTGACAATAGTGTTATAAAACTATTTTATTTAAATAGTTCCGACGACTTTCTTGAGATCCTATAAAATATGTTTTAATTATTATTTTTGTATGTTTTAAGCATGATAAAATAAGAAATTTTATATAAGCAATCATATTAAATCGATATCAAAGTCAATAAATAATGTACAACCCAAAACAGACGGCCGAACTGACGTGACAATGACATTTGGCGCGCTAAACATGGCGGATTTTCGGCCTCATTAGACGGAGACGGAGACATTTACGTATATTCATGTTTCATTTTATGTACGCACTGAAATACTGTTATATTGTTTTCTTGCGAGTTAAAGTGCTGAGTAAGAACGAGATAGATATATGTTTATGTGTGTGCCTTCAAAATGGGTGCTATTTATATAAGCAATTGTACGTATAGAACAATATGTCGTGTCCCTACTATATAGGTCTATGGAATAAATTGACAAGTCGTCGGTGAGCAACTTGATATGTCATTTTTTTCTTGATTAAAACGTTAATTTATTATTATACTTACACTGTGTGAAAATTCGGATGAAATTACTTAAATACGCATAAAAATTATATCAAAGGATAAAAAAATAGATTTACCAATAATATGTAAACTTACAAATGGCTGCCCTGAAAAGTATGCATTTTCGACTTGTCAATGTATTCACGCCGTGTACGGAAATAAAACTTAAATATGAAGTATTTGAATAAGTTTATATAAAGACTGTGAATATGGTAAACGTCATGGATAATGTTTTAGGAATAGAAATAAGCGAATTGACTTTATCTCTTTAAAAAAGGGCCTCGAACAAAAGGGTTTTATTGTAAAGGACAAAATATAGAATTTAATTTAAAAAATATTTTGTCTATGGTTACAGGTACTAAAAAGTTCTAGAACCTGCCGCCAAAACGAATTGTCGCTGCAGTCAGTAAATGGACGTTTGATGTGGTTGGTTGTCAAAGACTGTGCTGTTGTGTGTTTACAGTGATTTATTACCCGTTACTATAATCATAATTGCAGTATAAGGTTTTAGGGAGTAGATGAAGGTATGTATAAAATGCTAGATAAAATCTAACGTCTAAATTATAACGTTAAATTGTTATAATGACTTGGCGCTCGCCGAGCCAACTGCTTTGGACTCAATTCATCTCCTTCTTGTCAGCTGTACACAAAGATGCTACGCATTTACTTAGCAATGGTACAAATAATGAATTAAATTGTCAATTTTTTGTCGAAACAGGGTATGCCACACAGACAGTCTGTTCAGTCAGTTTCAAGGAAGTTTTAATGGTCCTTTTCTTTAGGTTTCCTAGTCGTACAACAGAGGTTATGGAACTGTTTTGTCCCTTTTTTACGAAAGAAGATAATTTATCGTATAAAGTGTATCTATCACACCTAATGACCCCTACCGTTGTTACAAAGGTACATTATTTAAAATCAACATCAATATTTTTCTTAAATATTATGTTTATACTTAAGAAAACAACTGTATCAGTGTTTATGTAGATAAGTGTAAAATGTAATTATAATTAAAAAATAATGTTTATAGATACATTATTGGTTCATTTGATTGTAAAATAATTTAAAATAAATATAAAAGTAATCTTGTATTAATGTGAATGTAGAAACTATAGAAGAATACTAAATACAAATTCAACATCCAATTTCCAATAAATTTGGATACTCACACAAATACAGTAGCAATAACAAATTAGACAATACTCAGATATTCAATATTCATAATTTACAAACTTCTTAATGTCCATTTTATTTTCCTGCTTCATATTTTGACTACACTCTTCCATTATAATACAAACTCATTAGTTTAAATTGAGGGTCTTGAATATCTGTTTTTATATACACAATAAATGGTTCAACTATAGGGCTGTTACAGCTGGCAACCAAAATCCTAATCTCTTAAGTTCATAAAACATAATATTGAGGTCAAGAAATCTTAAGTCTAAATCTATCATCACAATGATTCATTTACAAATTCAATACATTACCACTATTCTTAAATTTTTTCAACATTACAATTCATACTTATTTGCATTTTACTATCTTCTGAAAATTCCCATAGCATTCCTTGACCATATGGAAGAAGCTGTGTGTAATAGCCATTTTATTTTTTATTGCTTAGATGGGTGGACGAGCTCACAGCCCACCTGGTGTTAAGTGGTTACTGGAGCCCATAGACATCTACAATGTAAATGCGCCACCCACCTTGAGACATAAGTTCTAAGGTCTCAGGTATAGTTACAACGGCTGCCCCACCCTTCAAAATGAAACGCATTACTGCTTCACGGCAGAAATAGGCAGGGTGGTGGTACCTACCTGCGCGGACTCTCAAGAGGTCCTACCACCAGTAATTAATTATAATACTGTAAAATATGACCTAATGTTAATCTCGAAAACCATTTTATATTATCACATAAATAACTAAACTGTACTCAAAATAATATCAAATGAAGTTATTAATATGGCAATTATTTAATTCAATATTTTGTTCATACACAAATCTGTTAGAATAAAACTATGGCATATAAAGATTAAATAAAATTAAATTGAAACAAGCATCTGTCTAATATGAATGAAGTAGAAATTGACCTACATTCATCGAATATAATGATCATGAAGATTTGACAATCTTACAATTGGTTTTTTTATTCTTTGGGCCTGTTAGATGACATCAGCATGTATCCACTTTGCAGTTGACTTTAACCTATTTATGATTAGCCGCCTATCTCATGTCAAAACACTTAAAGTATTTTCTGTTATTGAATATCATACCAAATATCCTAAAATCAACATGCACTCTAATTCTGCTTCAATGTGAAGTTTATAGAGAGCTAAGGGATGATCATTATCAAAAAACAACAGGCTCATAATTTTATAATTCATTAACAAGCGAAATTTAACTATTGACTAGAGATAAAAAGTAATCTTTTATTTTCTTTTTATTGCTTAGAATGGTGGACGAGCTCACAGCCCACCTGGTATTATGTGGTTACTGGAGCCCATAGACATCTACAACGTAAATGCGCCACCCACCTTGAAATATAAGTTCTAAGGTCTCAAGTATAGTTACAGCAGCTGCCATACCCTTCAAACCGAAATGCATTACTGCTTCACGGCAGAAATAGGCAGGGTGGTGGTACCTACCCCCTCGGACTCACAAGAGTTTGTACCACCAGTTAAAAATGAAATTCCATCTAAATGAAATTATAAATATGATCTATTGCAGAAATATTGATGTGAATGTTATTCCTGGATCATATGGTATTCAGATATTATCGAAGTAAAGATGAGTGGTAGTCGAAAGGAAAATATTACTAATGACAATTGAAGAAGAAGAACTGTTATAATGGTTATGATCTCATTCCAGTCATTGCTCAACAAATGCACTTACTTTTATCATGTAACTTCCTCTGACCTGAAAACTTAATTTTATTTAATAATTCTCCATTAAACATATCCTTCTTAAAGTGTACATTAGGATTATTTGACAAGGAAATAAATAAATTACCTTCATTAATAGAAATAAATGTTAAGATGAAGCTAGTAATGTCTTAAATGAAATTAAAGAAATAGAAAAAACTTGAGATATAAAGCCCCATTTAACTGTTGATGGTGAGGTAATTAAGAGCACACAGACATTACGAGTTATAAGTGAATTAAAACATGTACCAAACATTGCTAATGCTAAATATAAAACATATTTGGAATAAAAAATATTATAAAAAGTCCTTTAATTCAAACACTAGCGGTCCCATAAACTTCAGGAAATCATTAAATTTAATGTTTATTCCAAGATCTGCTAATCAAAATTAAATCATTTTACATTTATCTAACATGGAAGTAGTGTCTACTATAGTTTAACTGATAATATATCTATTAAACAAGACCTAGTGCACTATCACATCTAGGAAACAATGACAGAAATAAATGTAATTGAAGTTTTAACCAATCATACAAAGTGTAGTTGTTATCATTAGTGTGTATGTACTTACGTAGTACTGTCTTACTTAGTTTTTATATTTAGTGCAGAAGTTTTCTCATTGTAATTTGTAAAAGACATAGATAATGTAAAAAGTATTTTTATTGTTACAACAAATAAATTTCATAATTTTTTTTACCAACATATTTAAGTTTTTCAGGTTGAGTTGTACAGGCAAATTTATTTCTGCATTCATGAAATTATAAAATACTTCTATGGTCTAAAAAATACTAAACATGCTTAGCATACCTAAGCTCCATATTTAATGTACTTAAACTACCATATTAATGTACTTAAACTCCCATATTAATGTACTTAAACTCCATGTTTAATGTACCTAAATTCCATATTTAATTTTATGGTACTGAAATAAAAAAAAAAGGTCCATGGTTAAAAAAATACTAATCATACTTAAACTCCATAGGTGACAGTATGTCTCGCAACAAAGACAAGCACGAGGGCGCGAGTGGGCGCACATACCATATCATGTCGGAAGCAGAACGAGCCTCTGGTCGTAGAGGAGGTTGGACTACTCTTGAGGTGAATATTAATCATTCAATGATTATCTTTAAATTTATTGATACAAAACTGAAACGCCATATTTTTTTATTCCACACCATGTTGTAATTATTCAGTGAAACACCGCATCAAATATAAAAATCAAAAGTGATGACTTTTTTAGAAATCTAATTTAGAAGTCAAAATTTGTTACAATTTTTTTAAACATACAGTTACCAACTTAGTATCAAATGCCAACTATAACCTTCACTTTTTATGTAAAAAAAGTAAAAAAAAACACTAGCAATAAAAACAGAAAACAGTAGTTTTAAATTTAAATGATCCACTTGTCTATTTAATGTATAAATTAAGCTAACATTATTTAAGTAGTTATTCCATTAGTATTCATAAAGGTTTAAACACGAGGAAAAGAGATTTCATTATTAAAATTAACGTAGTTTCCACGTTATTTACGTTTAAAACAATACCAACTTTTGATAATTATTGCACAGTAAATCTCAATAAATTTATTAATAGAGTTTAAAAAATATGATATTTGATAGTAAATACGATGTTTGGCAATGTTTGTTTATAACTGTAGAACTCCACTTCGAACAGTCAGGAAATAATACACAGATTGTAGTAGTTTACTTAATTCTGTATAACTTCGATAAAGCGGCACGACACGAGAACCCTCTCATCGTGGCCGCCGGTAACTACCCGATATTCCCGATCCTACGGAAAGAATGGAAAGCAGTCGACGTCGCCCAAAACACGTCATTTCGGATCCTCCCGATCCACTAACGGTGCTTTTAGGTACTTCAAGCACCGGTCACCGTTCTCGTCGAACCCGTCGCTTACGACGAAGGGCTCAACGAGTAAATTAACCCTTAGACACAGCCCACTGAATTTCTCGCCGGATCTTCTCAGTGGGTCGCGTTTCCGATCCGGTGGTAGATTCTGCGAAGCACGGCTCTTGCTAGGTTTTGTGTTAGCAACGTCGTCAGGTTTAAGCCCCGTGAGCTCACCTACTAGTTAAGGTTACGCTGGAATAGCCTCTCAGGGCTACCAACTTAGGTAGGAAAAAAAAATTTGCTTTATTTGTAACCCAACTTGTACAATCCTTAGACATCTGCTCACTACCGAATACACTGATTTCTGTCCCGTTTTTTCAGACTACCGCCTTTTTTATTATGTCACGTCCCCACTACTGTAATTGCTCCCACCAACAGTGTTGCTGTGCTGTGCAGTGACCATCGACAAGCAATTCAGTGCAAAACTCCCTATGAAAGAGCATACAAAGAATACTGAAGTATCTTCATAATAAGAGCTTAAGTGTTTACGATAATCTCAACGGCTCTCTTCTTTATGTAACCAAATTGAGAAAAGCGCATAGAACCCCTCAGCTTGGTAACTGTTTGGAGATCGTTGAAAGTTTTGCTAAAAGTAATTAATAAAAAATGCAAGAACATAATAAGCAGATCCTTCTTTGCTCTGAACACGCAAATCTATCTTCAAAGTGATATTTTGAAATATATCCATTTCGCCAAATTCGTCCCTGTCCAGTTTTCAACTACAGTCACAGATGTCACCTGTTTTCGGTATCGTGGCGAATATTTTTGGTTTTGCGAATATTTTTATCCACGTCTGCTATTACTGTTACGCCGGCAAGAGTAACGCCATCTATCGCCGAATACCAGAAACGAATATCAAAAGAACTAGTAACAGCGAAAACGCTCGATAAGTGCAACGCCATCTATTGTCAGATAACGGAAACACACATCGAAGCTACTCGACTTGCCCACAATGCTCTCGATAAATCTAGGGATGTCGTATCGTCTATAAAAGCTTTGCAGAGTTGGCACGAAGTCAGTTAGTAATCGAATGTACTCGAAGTAAAACAGCGAACGGATCACCTGAATCGAAGCGGAATTGTTCTGTGAGCGTTTTAAATGTTAATACAGTTTTAAATTGTACTTCGGTGGGACTTTTATTTATCCCGTACTCCAGCGCGTAACAATACAGTTGAAGTGTTAATTAAATTCCTATGATTTTTCGCGTTTTCAGGTAACAGGAGGTGTGCGCGCCCTAGCGCCGCCCCTCTTTCAGCTGACTCACTTGACAGCGCTGTATTTGAACGACAACTCACTGCAGCGCATCCCTACCGACATCAATCAACTCGTCAACTTGCACACACTGGACATATCCAACAATAAACTGAGATCGCTGCCCGTCGAGCTAGGAGACCTAATACAGCTCAGGTTCGTTTTTTTTTTTAATCTACAACCTTTCCAAAATTCGTTTTAATTATACCAAACTCACCCTTTTAACACAGAAAATAAAATACAAAATTAAATGACAAAACCGTAATATTACCGGAAAATGTTTAGATGTCTTTATTGTGTCCGTTTAAATAGTCAATGTTACCTCAAGTCAAAGTATAGGTAGAAATTCGGATGAACATCAACAATTGACCAAAGACGTTGTGGTAACCTCAAAGCTATCAAATAATTTGTATACACTGGCGTGGGCGGACAGACACCGCTTAGTCGAAGCAAGGGAGCGTAGAGCGTATAGACGTCAAGTGAGGCAAAGTAGAAAGCTAACTATGGTGAAACAAGTAATGGACAATGTTTTTGATGCTTTAGAGTTAAACAAAAAGCAGTCTTTAAAAAACAAAACAAATGAAAACTAATTGTTCCTAGAAAAGTCTTACTAATATACTTATGGCGGAAAAGCCACGCTCGAAAAGAAATGCAACGATTCTTAACTACATACATTTAGAAGGAAACAGCAAAACGACAATGTTTGTTCAGTTCAGTAATGTAATCTACGACGATCTATCTACGATAGTAAAAAGAGTTCTCTAAGTCAGACAACAGTGCGCATGTTGACCGATGATATTTGTATTAGCCAGTCCTTAAAGAACCCTAGTACCTAATCCAAAAAGCTAACCATAAACAGAATATCTTTAAGTCCATATCAAACATAAAAATAGTAAAATTAGACTTCGCTTAGCGGGAAGGAGACGGACCGACAATATATAACCTGTATAACTTTAAAAGGCCATCTCAGGCCAACCCCGAAGCTTATCCCTTTGATTGCCATATAGTTACATACCAGAATGTGTACTATATTTTGGGAAAAAGTGTCCGAAGATGCTCAGATTGAATCTATTCCTAAGAGACCTAATGAACTAAAATGTATATTAAAAATAAAAGAAAAGTTATGCAGTTATGCTATGCAGTCTAGGGTTCGTGTTAGCAACGTCGTCAGGTTTGAGCCCTGCGAGCTCACCTACTAGTTAAGGTTACGCTGAAATAGCCTCTCAAGGCTCTCAGCTTAGGTAGGAAAAAAAAAACCGGAAGCTTAACAGGGCAGCCAAAGGCTTAAGTGAAGTTTTACAATATTTTTTTTAGTAAACACACTATAATTCGGTAATGGCTTGTAATTGTGATATCTATGACCGATGGTTATCATCTATCATCGGATTTGCCGTATGCTCGAGTACTTGATATAAAAAAAAGCCAGTGAGACCGAACCACTCGCTTCTAACACTCGCTAAGTGAACGAAAAACTCAATAAGTCGCGCGTACCCAATATTCCGTATGGTACTATAATGAAAATCTTCCCTGCACTACTAACTAGCTATATCAAGTTATATGTCAATCTAATAAAGCATTTGTGAACGTGTGTATGAATCACGAAAAAATATATTCTCAAATATTAGGTTTTAATCACCGGTCTTAATTAATAGTTTTTATAAATAAGACATAAATGAATTGTAGATGGCACAATATACAGGATCCCTGTTTATTGTTGAAGTTTTTTTCATATGTTATTATATGTTTTTACCTATCCTTCATCTGAAACACGTCGATGAAATAGGGTGGAAATAGTCTACATTATAAATAAATAAAAAAACAATAAAATATAGTGGAAATTACACTATCAGTTGTAAAATCACAACTATTATGAAATTCTACAATATTTTACCACTATTTATTAGTATATACTAAAAAAAATTTATTAGTTTATGTTGGTATTTATTACTAATAGTTTTGGATGATATTCCAATCGCATAATTTTCCCGCTCGAAGCTGTTATTTATACAGCAAGCTAAACTAGGTCACGAATGACGCGTATTGACAAAATTTCTGAATCCTATCAATATGTAACGCAGGTACACGCTATGTGTAAATTCTCTATCCATAGTAAATTAAGCGTGAAGATTGTATTAAATAATATATCGTTTTTTTTGCTAACCTTACCAACCGAATTTTACCAAACGTGCCCCATCTGGTATTAAGTGGCTATCGGATTCTACAGAGACCACAAACCGCTATTCGGTATCTGATTCGGTGTTCGCTAATTATATATAGCGATATATTGAAATTATATAAATAGTTCGTTATTAGAAAAAAGGCATACTTATTATACCTAATTTTAGACAAGTTGATTGTTATAGTCAGTATAGAGACTGGTATAATAGAGCTTATAGATTCATCAGTCTTAGTATAGTGATTGATACTAGGCTAACACTAATGTAGACACATCACGTTAGATTTATTTTATTTTACAACTTTCTCGTCATTTGAAATGATGCTGATTTTAAAACTAATCGGATGCGGTTTGTAAGTTTTTTAGTATATTTTTAAAGTAATTACGAAAAAATCTGTTTTCATTTAAACTTTTAATTAATTATTGACTAATTTTGCTTTAGGCGCACGTACAGTAATTATTATACTATTACTCATAAGTTTGACAACATAAAAGTTTGCATGTGTTTTGTCAAATACATGGTAATGTCTGTAATTTTTTCTTTATTGATTTAATGTATACTTTATGCATTATTTTTAAAAAAAATTATCATTGTGCACTCCTTCTCTATATTCTCTATCAGTGTGAGAAATTTCATACTCCTCCGTCCGCGCAATTTTCGTAAAAAGCGGTACAAAGTTTTTGCTTCACGTATTAATTTATAGATAATAACAACTAGGAAGAGGAAGAACTTCCGAGCAATAAGCTCGCTAGGTCGTCACGTTCCGCACGTATGTTTCAGAACTTTTATAGGCAAGCTTATTTCGAAAATGTCATTCGCGCGATTTTGATTTGTCAAATGCATTCTATTTTATGATAACTACTGTAAATTTTTACACTGTTGTGTCATAACAGTATTGCTTACATAAAAAAATTGCAATGTTATTCTTCCTATTATTATAACAGTCACCCAGAGAAATCTTCGACAAGTTTTTTCAGTACTGTCGTTCTTTTTAGGACTAGTCGTAGAGTTCATTTTTACCTACAATAGGTATATTAAAAACACTAAGATGATAATGAAATGAATGATTTCGAATTGACCGGCGTGAAGTCTTAAGAATTAAGGCAACTTTTAACTGCATAATATAATATACACATACATCGTTTACGACTTGCCGTATTCATAAGTGTTGATGGGTTACATTAGCAATGAAACTTATACGTTGACGTTTGAGTCTAAAATCGATTGCTTCTCTGATTCTAAACTACTGAATAAATACGCGAACGAGTTAGGCCAGCACGGTTAGTTTAAATAGTTATCGCACGTTAGAATAAACGCAATGTGTTTTCGTCTCCAAGTTAAGGCTTTAAGATTTCATTGCACAATTACGAGTAAGCGTTGACTTGCACCAAGCACCTTACTGGTGGTAGGACTTATATCTCGAAGTGGGTGGCGCACTTACGCTGTAGATGTCTATGGGCTCCAGTGACCACTTAACACTAGGTGGGCTGAGAACTCGTCCACCCATCTAAGCAATAAAAAAAAGCAACTTATGTCGAGCGCTATATGAAGTCATCGTGGCCTAAAGGATAAGACGTCCGGTGCATTCGGAGCGATGCACCGATGTTCGAATCCCGCAGGCGGGTACCAATTTTTCTAATGAAATACTTACTAAACAATTGTTCACGATTGACTTCCACGGTGAAGGAATAACATCGTGTAATAAAAATCAAAACCGCAAAATTATAATTTGCGTAATTACCGGTTTTAGGACCTCTTGTGAGTCCGCATGGGTAGGTACCACCGCCCCGCTTATTTCTGCCGTGAAGCAGTAATGCGTTTCGATTTGAAGGGTGGGGCAGCCGTTGTAACTATACTGAGACCTTAGAACTTATAGGGTGGGTAGCGGCATTTACGTTGTAGATGTCTATGGACTCCAGTAACCACTTAACACCAGGTGGGCTCTTAGATCGTCCACCCATCTAAGCAATAAAAAAAAAAACAACTCATATCGAGCGCTATGACATGTTTCTTCAATACTCAACACTAGGCGACTGCCTGGTTGATTTAACATTAGGTGCCTCGTCTCTGCTAAAATATCAATAAAAAATCACATCATGGTAACATAATTGGGCTTCTGTAACAACCACCTGACTCCTTCGTCCGTCTAAAGCAATAAAGAGGCGTACGATAAATGACTGGGACAGTAAAACAACAATCGGTCGTATAGAAACCGGAAATGTACCTGACCGTGCCGTACAGTTTTGTTGGTAGTAAATTTTATTGTCGCACTAAGTGCGTTCTCTTCACACGAGGACATACGAATGGAGATCGTGTTTAATCTTGAATTAATTCGAAGTACGTACGCGATGACCTCGTTTGATTGAAGCATGAAAACGTTTATTATTACTAGTTGATTGTTCTAGTGCTATGTTAATTAGGTTCTTTTCAAAAATATATTCAAAAAACTTGAAATTCAACTAAAAAATGAAAAATTTAAACTATTATTTATTTTTCATTTTTTAGTTGAATTTCAATTTTTTTTAAATATTGAATTGTCATCGGTCCTCTATTAATCTACAAAGTTTGAATGAAATCTGGCCGTTTAAAGTGGGTCAAAATCGCGTCTAAAGAAGTCAGTTACAAACATACAAACATAAATACAAGTGAAGCTAATATAAAGCGTGTAAAAAGGAGGAACATTTCGGTTTTAGTTCATTTTATGCAATACTAGGAACACTACGTGTTAGGACAAGGAAACATTTCAAGGATAAACGCCGCAATGGAATAGGAAATGAAAATACATTGCCGGCTACCATGGATATTTAGCTCAGATCATATAAACCGAAATTACTCAACCCCGTGCCACATTGCGGTCCGAGGACATTAAATGGCCCACATAAGCAATTTTTAAATTTTAAATGCAATATGACCTTACAGTTCTTGTGTAGTTTCAGGCCCACAATAATATGTATTTACGTAAGTGAAAAATAAAAACCG